AAAAGTGTTTCTGTTTTGTGTATAGATTTGGTTTACGCACACGCCATGCGTTACATAAAGCACAGCGAACTCGCTTAATCACTTCAAAAACTACTTTGACGTGTAGTGAAGGCTTATAGCCCTACATTTTAAGACGGAAGGATCCAAGGGTGGAACGCTCAAATTTTGAAGACATTTGAAAGCTGGTAGATGCGCTGAAGACATTTAAGAGCTCTTTTTTCACTATTCTTGAAGACGTTTCCAGAGACTTGACCCCTATGAATATCTCAGGAACGTTCGGGAGGGTTTGGGATACCTATTCAAAAGTTCAGCCCTGGCGCTCATTACAGTATTCCCTAACCCTAATAGTTGGGGAATATTGTAGATCGGGGGGAATTGGGTGGGGGATCTCCCAGCTAACGAAAAGCTTATGATAGTCGTAGAAAAGTGAACGTTAAACAAATACTCCTCGGTGCTACGTTCTCCACCAAAACGTTCCGGGGGGGGGGGGGGTCTAAAGGGTTCCAAACGTTCAGCCCTCGCTCTCATTGCAGTATTACCCATCTGGTGCGTGCTGGTGGGCTTCGGATATAACCAAATCTTCCCTCTCATTTCTGCGATCTTGATACAATAATGACGCTGACTGTGAATAAATTGTTTCCCCTTTACATCTACAGGAGAAAGCTATCCTACTTAATAGTAAATTATTTGCCCGTGAGAAGGTGAGAAATGGGAAGCTAACACTTTGTTTCTACATTTCTGTGGCCCTGATACATGACGTTAGTAGAACGTATAAATGCGCTAAAAGGTTCAATTTAATATCTGCGAGCCTGATATGACAGTGAATTTAGATTTAGTAACAATCATTCCTGCGTTACACCTGCACCCGCTTATATGATCCTGATACTGCAAGTGGAAAGTGTTACATCTTCCGCTTCGAAAGCAATAATTCGTCGAAGAGAACGAAGAATTTCCCCCATACAAGTTCGGAGGATACGTTAGGTATTAAAAAAAATGGTCCTGCTATTCCTGTAACCCTGATGCAGTAATTTTAATGAAAATATGTCAATGAGACCCACAAGGAGCAAAAGGGAAGTGGATAATAGACCTACTATAGTAGTATGTCACTTTCAAAAATACATCACCAAACGATCTACGGTGTATTTCATACCGCCTAGAAAACCCCAGTGCTGCGATTTCCAACAATACGTTTGGGGGGGGGGGGGCTCTAAACTTTTTGGATGGAAAAGTAGCACCGAGGGGATCTCATGATAACTGCTGTAGGAAAAGGAAAGTTCCCTTTCCAAACATCATAGTGTAAGTGGATGGGAACTAATGATTTTTGGGAACACCGGGGGTCTGGGGGAGTATGAAATACCCTCCCAGGGCACAAAAATCTCGTGATAGTTGTAGAAAAAGGAATGTTAACCCTTTCCCTTTTACCTGGGGGGGGTGTTCCATACACCTCTCAGTGTACGTTCTCCCTCAAAACGTTCAGCCCTAGGCTCCCATTTCCAAAAATTGTAATAGTTTGAACGCACTAAACGTTTTAACGGAAAAAATGTAGCACCGGGAGGGGGGCTGGGAGTATGGAATATCGGATTTTTATGGCTCAGTGGTTTGTGTAGAGCATTGTGTTATAAATCGGAGGGTCGGGTGTTCGAACCTGGTGAAGTGAATTTTTTCATCGGTGGCGAGTGGGAAATTACCTAGGACCAGTTCGAGCATTCTACGGGCTACTCCGAATTAGGTTTTCCTGCAGTTTTCCTAATTCGTAAGGTAAATACCGGAGTAGTATAGACCAACTTAAGACCTTCTGCAGAGGCACCTCCAAATAGCATTATGCGGGTCACTCTGTAATTGGGCGCATGCCTGTTGAGGGCCCAAAACAAGAGAGGGATAATAATAAAATAAAATCACCCTAGGGCACAAGAATCTCATGATAGTTGTAGAAAAAGGAATGTTAACCCTTTCCCTTTTAACCGGGGGGGTATTCCATACCCCTCAGTGCTACGTTCTCCCTCAAAACGTTCAGCCCTAAGGCTCCCATTCCAAAAATTGTAAGTAGTTTGGGCACTAAACGTTTTAAGGAACAATGTAGCACCGGGGGAGGGGGTCTGGGGAGTATGGAATGCCCCCTAGGGCAAAAGAATCTCATGATAACTGTAGAAAATGGAACGTTAAGCCTTTCCTTTTTTCCCTGGAGGGTATTTCAAACCCCCCGAGCTACGTTCACCCTCAAAGCGTTCAGCCATAAAGCTCCCTTTCCAAAAATCATAGTGTGGGTGGTACGGGAACTAATGGTTTTGGAGAACAATGTAGCATCGTGCGGTCTGTGGACGAGGATCTAATGTAGGAAAAAGAACATTAAACCTTTCTTTTTTTCCGGGGGAGTATTGGAATCCCCCCCCCCCCCCTCAGTGAAACGTTCTCCCTGAAAGAAAGTGTTCAGTCCCAAGGCCGCAGGTGGTATCTGTGCTAGTCACAGCAAATTTTTTAAGAGAGAGTGAGAGGAAAAATATCACCAAGGTATCTGGTGCGTACGGAATACCCCCCGGAAAAACTCATATTTGTACGGGAGGGCCACCGAATGTTACCCTGATACAAAATTTCCTTAAAAAGTCATTGCCTCACAAAAAATGGCAGAAAGAATAATTTTGACCCCCACCCTCTGTTGACTACAATTAATTTTGGATGCTAAACATTATAGTACCAGGGTCACAGAAATAGTAGGGATTTCCCATAACAAATTGTTAGATCATAATATAAACGAGAGTAATAATGTATTCATACAGCGAATTTAGGTTGTGTAACTGGTACTATTATGCTACTTTTCAGTAGTACCAATTGATCTGAATAGCACCAATGGTTTTTTTTTAATGGCGTCCATTACGAAAACTGAAAGGGCCACCTACAACATAAAGAATAAGTGAAGTTCTCTTGGCCTTCCTCCTCATCTATGAGGTAGGAGCTGTCCACTCACTCTGGTATTTGTTCTTATGCGAACGTGAGTGAAGGAAAAGGCGTGGGGCCGTGGGCAAGAGAAAAAGGAGGAATGAATAAGTTGCTAATTTCATTGCTATAGTCCCAAAAGAATTCTAGAACGACTGTAACATCTTGTAACACAACAGCTCGCTCAAACAATGAGGAATTGTGACACAAAGAGAGAGTAATTGCTCCATGAGCTATACAATCATTACGCAAGCCTTTTTAAAACAACCTGAAACGCTGCAACGGCCACAAGCCCGCGAAACCTCGAACGAGATGAAGATAGGCGTAATACTCTTCTCTATCCTCGTCTTGGGCGCCATTTGTGAGGTAAGTAAGTGAGTGGGGCGCATTTTTTTTTACATCTTAACCTAGCGCGGAGCCCAAGAAGCAACAACAGAAGATGGCGCTGGCGGCAGTTCTGAAAACCAAACCGAAAACGCAACTCCGGCTCGTAACAGAACTATGGAAGCGTTCAATAAAGTGAGGGAGGGTGTAAAACTGAAGCGGGCTATGGAAAAGGGCACCAATGGTTCTGCGAGCAGTCCAGAGGCCCCAAAATTGTACTGAATCTCGTTGTAAAAAATCAATGTGTATTAAAGTGCCTCCTTCCATGTCTCTAGATCTATAGTTAAGTCATAGTGAAACCGTCCCACATTTCCTAGATTTTTTTGCTCCCTCCGAGCCATAATAAAACTTGATGTTTTCATGTTATCCTGCCATCGGTGCGTCCCCGTCCCGTTTGCTCAGGTTAAGTTGAAGTTAAATGTTGCCCCCTGCCCTTTTAATTTTTTTAAACGGGGCTAATTGGGAATGATGGGATGTTTGTCCCCTGCTCTTTTGGATGTTTTTTTTGTTTTTTTTTAAATGTAATTAATTTGGGAAAAGCGGGATCTTTATCCGTTGCCCATTTTTCAAGTTTAGGAACATATTTGAAATTCGTTTCAGAACTTGCAAAAATTTTTGAGTTGAAAATTAGTTAAAGCGTCTTGAACTTGAAATCCTAAGAATCAGACAAATATGTGAACAATTATTTCCCAGCTACTCCTAAATTAAGCTTGCGTGCCTTTCATTTTTTGCTCAGAAGAGCAATAATTGGCAAAAAATGACACAAAGACGCTAAATGTCTCTATCTACATGTGAATGGCGGAATTGAACGAAACAAGGTCACGATTACCTATACAAATTATTGACGGCCCACGAGCGGCGGCGGTAATTGTCCAAAATTGTTATTGACAATCCACGCCTCACTACCTTCCTAAAGCGATGACGGTGGTCGCCTGATGATTAAATAATTAGGTACCTAATTTGGCCATTTTTGAGTGAATACCAGCACAAGCCGACCTGTAGGTATAATAAACGAGGTCAGAGCGAGAAGTCGGCACAAGATGAAGATCAACGCGTTCGTCCTTAGTCTACTACTTCTCGCCGCGCGCGAGATTTTCGCCGACGACGAAGCGGACCTCGGCGAGGCGGCGGCCGAATGCGACAAGGCGCGGCAAGATTTCAAGGAGGCGAAGGAGGCCTTCGATGAGGCGAAGAAGAAGTACAGCGTGGAGCTTCAGAATTGCAAGAAACTCTCGACCAAGTTTGGCCGAAAGGCGAGATTGTAATAACGCGAAAATGTCGGTGCAATAAATGAGTTCGATTTGATTTATTTGATTTTACTTCCCCCGAAATTTTGATGAATGGTGGATCTTGATATTGTTGGCATTATAATTAGAATTTTTCAAGAAAGGATTGTATCAGGAGAACGTTAGGAGGTATCACTCAGTTTATCGCATACCTACTCTCGAATTCTTTCCTTTTGTACGTTATTGCATTCCTGTGGTCCTGATAGAAAGTATTTAAAATAAAAGATTTATATTTATCGAGATTTTGTTATCCAGATATCAGATTCAGTAAGTCACGAGAACCACTGAACCTGTGACTTTTGTTGCATTTGCTTTCTTTTATGAGCTCCTGATACAACTATTTCAATGGCTACGGTACTATGTTGTATCGCTACAACAGCTTACTTGGATCAGAAAGACATGGAGCATGTCAACTAATAAATTCCGAGTTTCCTAAAAAAAATTTCGTGTCGGGAGAACATGATACTGAACAGGTCATGTGAAAAATTGCCTCCGATGTTTATATACAATCATTTGACAAAAGCTGATTAAGTAACCCTATTTCCGTTCCCTAGTATTATTGCAATACCGATGCAACAACTTTTAGAAGAGAAATCTATGATTAATCAGTTTATGCTTTCCTGTTACAATAACTTTTCCTAGGGAAACCCGCCAGTTAATAAATTATTCCTTTATACACTCTCACACGACCCAGGTATGAAAACTTTAAGTTTGGGCTATCCAGATTATGTGATCTTGATACAATAAAATGAAGCTACATAAAAACGACATTGTACATTCGATGATACTACTTGGGAATTCTTTTCTACTCCAAACGTTTAGGTCTGTTACGTTTCTGCAATTCTGATATATTTTATAAAAAGATAGTGTGTAAATCAGCCTATAAATTATTCCTTTATTGCACCTCGAGTTGCACCTCTCCCGTTCATGCGATCCTGATACCAGTGCATTATGACGCGAAGACTTAATTATCATTTTCCAAAGGTTACCGTGGGCTGGAAATAGAGAGGGAATCATCGAATCCCTGTTTCTTCACCCTACCGCTAGGCTGGGGGGTATTCCATACCCCCCAGAACCCCCGATGCTACAATGTCTGAGGTACTTCTTAGAAGAAGAGAATCCGATCATTATTTCCCAAAAACTATCATGAGAGTGGGGAGGGTTGCACGTTTTGGGTAAGAAATTGTTACCGGGGGGTCTGGGGGGTATGGAATACCCCCCAGCACACGAGAACTAGACCATATTTCTCCAAAGGATACCGGGAGATGCAAACGGAAGTAGAGAAAGAATCATCGAATCCCTGTTTCTTCACCCTACCGCTTGGCTGGGGGGTATTCCATACCCCCCAGTGCTACAATGTCTGAGGTACCTCTTAGAAGAAGAGAATGTGATCATTCTTCCTCCAAAAACTGTCATGAGAAGGGGGAAGGTTACACGTTTTGTCTAAGAAATTGTTATCCGTGGATGTGGGGCTTATGGAGTATCCTTATCCTACGATGGGGAAGCATACGAAAACTGGATTGTATTTTTTCAAAGGTTACCGTGGGGGATGCAAAAGGAAGTTGAGAAGAAATGATCGAATTTCTCTTTGTTCAGGGTAACGCTTGTCTGGGCGGTATTCCTGCCCCTCTGTCCGTTTCCAAAAACTAGCATTAACGTTGCCAGTAACCAATCGATTAGCTCTCTTACGCAACAATCCACGCATTTCGAGCATTGTCCACCGTAAAACTACCAAAATTGCGTGATTACATGATCGTCTGAACAATAGCGGCGTTTTTTGCTCTAATGAACCATTTCCATTATTGGGACCTCCTTTAAATAAGCCGGGAAAGAGTACGGGAAGTCAGTTACAAAAATGAAGTTCTTTACTATCGTTCTTCTCTCAGCGATCCTCGTCGTTTGCCTGGTGAGTACTTTTGCGACAAGCGAATGGCGCTTACATTGCTTGTGCAGGTTGCGGCCCAAGACGATGGCGAAGGCGGCAGGACCAAAGGAAAGAAAGGTGGCAACATGTTAAAAGACGTTATCGAGAAACTTCCCGAAATGGCTAAGGATGTGATGGGAAAATTGGGAGACTTGGGAAAAAACATCTTGGGTGGTTTGGGATCGTTGGGCGGCAAGAAATCGAAAAGCGGAGGAGGTGAAGCATAGTCATGAAATTTGTAAAATGCAATAAACTTAATCTCTTTTAACAACTTTCGTATATTCCTTAATCCCCACTCGTTAAATGTTCATGTTCTCCTGATACAAAACTTTCTTGCCAAAATCATCGTACCCGGACCACAGAAACGTAATAATGGACAGCATTAAATTTAGAGGAACGCAGAGAGGTGTCATAAAGCACCATATGTTCCGCTGATTCTCATCGGAATCGTAGAAATGTAAAGGTTTTCAACAAAATAATAATTTTATTAAGCGACAAGTTGGAACGTATCATGTTTTCCTGATATAACGTAATCTATTGACTGAAGTTCCACCTCATAACTTACCATGTTCTCCTGATAAAACCATTAATGAGAGAAATCAGTAAGTATATTAGTATAATTGGAAAGAGGTAAACACACTTTTTTCTTCTAATAATATTTGTGACAGGATCACATGAATTCTAGGAGGTATAAGGAGACAATTTTTTAACTGACATTATGATCATAAAAACGCAATAGACGCAAATTTTCTTCTAATTAATGCATTCGGGTGACAAGAACGCAAAGATGTCTATGCAAAAAAAGGGATCTGTTGTTGACCGAGACCATCTAACGTGTCATGTTATCCTGATACAAAGCAGATGGTGATACTAGCAAAATGTAAAAAATAAAGATTCGAGAATGGGGCGAGTAGAAAAGTGCTATTCACATATGCGCACCTGGTACACATTTGAAAAATGCATCAGGATCACAGAAACGCAGAAAATACGCCGAATAATCTCGCTGAGGTTAAGTGTAAGAGCAGCACCTGCGTGTGCTGAACTTCGCCTCTTATTATGTAGTCATTCATGAACATATCACAAATTAATTTAAATAAAGACATTTATTATTATTATTATTATTACTATTGAATACAATTTTTTTGCTGTGGATTCAAAAACAGTTATACTGATACGAAAAGTTTTGTGTTGCCTATCACCTCAATTTTTCTTACAGAGATGATTCGGAAACTCAAAAATAAAACGATTTGTCATTTAAGGAGGAGCTGTTCAGTATCATGTTCTCCTGACACGAAAAATGTTATATTGACTGTGCCTTCCTAATAACATTTTCTTGCGAAATCGAACAAAGGTATCAAAATCGGAAACTCAGAAAAACAATAATTTCTCATTTGAGAAGCTGTCCAGTATCATGTTCTCCTGACACGAACAGTTTCGTGGCTCTTAACACACCGTGATCTCTTGCAGAGACTATCAAAGTCGGAAACTCGATTTTTCATTTGAGGAGGAGCTGTTTAGTATCATGTTCTGACACGAAAAATTGTGTGCTGACTGTCACCTCTTCTGATCCCCTAATAAATTTATCTATGTTCTTCCCCAAAAACGTTAGCACTCAAAGAACACATCATCAAACTTCGTAACCTGGTCCTGGGGAGTATAGAATACACCAAAGGAAAGTGGGATTTGTCTGTCCTAGAACGAAAGTCTTGAAACCTGGGCGCTTGTGGAAGAATGGAGGGTCGGGGGTATATTGAATGATCGTTACCTATAATCCTTATGTAATAGTCTGGAAGAGAAGCATGTATTGGGACCGTTTTATGATCTAACTGTCATAATTCATCAAATAATTGCGTTTCTGTGATCCTGATGCAATTTTCAAAAAAAGTTTGCACCAAGAGAGCATGATGTGTAAGGGGATTCACCTGACCACCCTCCTAGTACCCCAATCTTGAACCTACGCACTTTATTTTGAGCTTTTTTGCGGTGCTAGTAGTATGACTATCTTCATTGTATCAGGGTAGCACCATTAACAACATATTTTTGCATTCTTGTCATCCTATTATTATTATTAACTATTATTATTGTCCTGTAATTGGAAGGTCTGTTCTGTTGGGCAATAAATCTCTATTATTATTATTATCCTAATACGTCCTGATACCATAGCCTTCGGCAATATTCTTTCCATTAAGTCTTTAAGACTGATAATACGATTTGGAAGGATTTCAGGAACTAGTCGATTAGTTATCTAACCCAACAATCGACACATTTCGAGCGTTGTCCACCAAAAAACTACTCAAATTGCGTGATTGCATGATCGCCTGAATGGCGGCGTTTTTTGCTCTAATGGACCAATTCCATTGTTGGAACTGTTTAAATAAGCCGCGAAAGAGCAAGGGTCAGGTCAGTTACAAAAATGAAGTTTTGCACTATCGTTCTTCTCTCAGCGATCCTCGTCGTTTACATGGTGAGTACTTTTGCGTAAGACGAACGGCGCTTACTCTTTGTACAGGTTGCGGCCCAAGACGATGACGACAACGGAAGGGGCAAGGGAAAGAAGGGTGGAAAAGGTGTAGGTAGAAAAGGTGGCAACAGAGGTGAGGAAGGTGGCAACGGAGGTGAAGAAGGTGGCAACAAAGGTAGAAAAGGTGGCAACAGAGGTGAAGAAGATGGCAACGGAAGTGACGAAGATAGCAACAAAGGTAGAAGAGGTGGCAACAGAGGCGAAGAAGGTGAAGAAGGTGGCAACAAAGGAAGAAGAGGCGGCAACAGAGGTGAAGAAGGCGGAAACGGAGGTGAAGAAGGTGGCAACAAAGGTAGAAGAGGTGGCAGCAGAGGCGATGAAGGCAACACTGGTGAAGAAGGAGGTAACAAGGGTGGAAAAAGTGGCAACATATTAAAGGACGTTCTCGAGAAAGTGCCTGATATGGCTAAGGATGTGATTGGAAAATTGGGAGATGTGGGAAAAAATATCATGGGTGGTTTAGGATCGTTGGGCGGCAAGAAATCGTAAAACGGAGGAGGTGACGCATAGTCCTAGGCATGGTCTGTAGGAAAAGTAAGCGTAAATTACAATAAACTTCTGTTCTCTACTCACAACGTTCATATTTTAATCCCCACACATTAAATGACGTGTCATGTCCTCCCGATACCTGATACCTTCCAAAATCGTCGTAATCGCATCACAGAAATGCAATAAGGAAGAATTGCGTAGCATTAACTAGTTGGACCAAATTTAGAGGAATGCAGAGGGATAGTCATAAAGCACCATGTTTTCCTAATATAAATTTTTCTCATCAGAATCACGCAGAAGGATTTGTTGTTGTCCTGATACAACAACAAAAAATTCGGGAATGCGGTCAGTGTAGTAGTTCAATTCATTGCCTTTCGCACATTATGTGCTCCTGGTACACATATTTTCTTGCAAAAACCAAGTCGGAAACTCAATAGGAAACAATTTCTAATTTAAGGAGGCGCTGTTCCGTATCATGTTCTCCTGGCACGAAACACTTTGTGTTGACAGTTACCTCTTAACACACCATGCTTTCGTAATAAAATCTTCGCAGTATCTTGGATCCTATATCCCCTATAGTAACCCACGCTCGAATCATGAACCGTAAGGCGCGAATCTTTACGTCTAAATCCTCATGAGTCGTGAATCATGAGCCCGAATCCTGCATACTGAACTCTGAATCGTGAATCCTCTTGAGTATCGAGTTCTGATCCTTGGGACCATAATCCTGGGTCTGCAGTTTTGAACGCTGTAGTCTGAATTCTGAAGTCTGGAATCTTAAGTGTTGAATTCTTAATCCCGAATCCTCCGGAATCGTGATTCGTGGGTTCAAAATCCTGTATCCTGTTGAATGTTGCGTGCCGAGTCTTGCATCTTGATTCTTAAATCCTGAACCTTACATTAGGGTCCTGAGTTATGAACCCTCTCGAGTCCTGAAACCTCGCGAGTATTAAGCCCTGAATCTTCCTGACTCTTGACTCGTGAATTCTGAATCCCCTTGAATGTTGAGTATCGGCTAAATCCCCTTAAATAGGGTCACGAGTCCTGACTCCTGGATTCTCAGATTGAAGTGCAGAACCTTAGAACACGAATCCTGAACCCTGAATAATGGCGAATCCTATTAGATCCTGAGTTCTGATCCTTGGGTCTTGAAATTGAATTCTGCATCCTGTAAATCCTCTTGAGTTTCGAGTTCTGATCCTTGGCTTCAAAATTCTGAATCCTCACAATCCTGGGTGGTCAATCCGCATTTTTGAACCCTGAAGTCTTGAATTCTTAATCCCGAATCCTCAAGTCTTGAATCCTCCTGAACTGTGATTCGTGGGTTCAAAACCCTGTATTCGCTCGAATGTTGAATGTGGAGTCTTGAATCTTGATTCTTAAATCCTGAACCTTACATTTGGGTCCTGAGTTATGAACCCTCTTAAGTCCTGAAACCTCGCGAGTATTAAGCCCTGAATCTTCCTGACTCTTGACTCGTGAATTCTGAATCCCCTTGAATGTTGAGTATCGGCTAAATCCCCTTAAATAGGGCCACGAGTCCTGACCCCTGGATACTCAGATTTAAGTGCTGAACCTTAGAACGCGAATCCCGAACCCTGAATAATGGTGAATCCTATTAGATCTTGAGTTCTGATCCTTGGGTCTTGAAATTGAATTCTGCATCCTGTAAATCCGCTTGAGTCTCGAGTCCTTGGGTCAAAAATTCTGAATCCTCACAATCCTGGGTGCTCAATCCGCATGTTTGAAACCTGTAGTCTGAATTCTGAAGTCTGGAATCTTAAGTGTTGAATTCTTAATCCCGAATCCTCCTGAATCGTGATTCGTGGGTTCAAAATCATGTATCCTGTTGAATGTTGCGTGCCGAGTCTTGCATCTCGATTTTTAAATCCTGAACCTTACCTTTGGATCCTGAGTTATGAAGCCTCTTGAGTCCTGAAACCTCGCGAGTATTAAACCCTGAATCTTCCTGACTCTTGACTCGTGAATTCCTAATGCCCTTGAATTTTAAGTAAAGCTTGAAGCCTGAATCCTAACCTCCAAATTGTGAATCCTGTTGAGCCTTGAGTTATGAGAGATGGGTTCTGAATTATGAGTCCTGAAACCTCTCAAGTATTAAGTCCTGAAGCTTCCTGACCCTTGACCCGTGAATTCTGAATCCCCTTGAATGTTGAGTACCGGCTAAATCCCCTTAAATACGGCCACGAGTCCTGACCCCTGGATTCTCAGATTGAAGTGCAGAACCTTAGAACACGAATCCTGATCCCTGAATCATGGTGAATCCTATTAGATCCTGAGTTCTGATCCTTGGGTCTTGAAATTGAATTCTGCATCCTGTAAATCCTCTTGAGTTTCGAGTTCTGATCCTTGGCTTCAAAATTCTGAATCCTCACAATCCTGGGTGGTCAATCCGCATTTTTGAACCCTGAAGTCTTGAATTCTTAATCCCGAATCCTCAAGTCTTGAATCCTCCTGAACTGTGATTCGTGGGTTCAAAACCCTGTATTCGCTCGAATGTTGAATGTGGAGTCTTGAATCTTGATTCTTAAATCCTGAACCTTACATTTGGGTCCTGAGTTATGAACCCTCTCGAGTCCTGAAACCTCGCGAGTATTAAGCCCTGAATCTTCCTGACTCTTGACTCGTGAATTCTGAATCCCCTTGAATGTTGAGTACCGGATAAATCCCCTTAAATAGAGCCACGAGTCCTGACCCCTGGATTCTCAGATTTAAGTGCGGAACCTTAGAACGCGAATCCTGAACCCTGAATAATGGCGAATCCTATTAGATCCTGAGTTCTGATCCTTGGGTCTTGAAATTGAATTCTGCATCCTGTAAATCCGCTTGAGTCTCGAGTCCTTGGGCCCAAAATTCTGAATCCTCACAATCCTGGGTGCTCAATCCGCATGTTTGAAACCTGTAGTCTGAATTCTGAAGTCTGGAATCTTAAGTGTTGAATTCTTAATCCCGAATCGTGATTCGTGGGTTCAAAATCGTGTATCCTGTTGAATGTTGCGTGCCAGTCTTGCATCTTGATTCTTAAATCCTGAACCTTACCTTAGGATCCTGAGTTATGAACCCTCTTGAGTCTTGAAACCTCGCGAGTATTAAACCCTGAATCTTCCTGACTCTTGACTCGTGAATTCCGAATGCCCTTGAATGTTAAGTAAAGTTTGAAGCCTGAATCCTAACCTCCAAATTGTGAATCCTGTTGTGCCTTGAGTTATGAGAGATGGGTTCTGAATTATGAGTCCTGAAACCTCTCAAGTATTAAGTCCTGAAGCTTCCTGACCCTTGACCCGTGAATTCTGAATCCCCTTGAATGTTGAGTACCGGCTAAATCCCCTTAAATACGGCCACGAGTCCTGACCCCTGGATTCTCAGATTGAAGTGCAGAACCTTAGAACACGAATCCTGATCCCTGAATCATGGTGAATCCTATTAGATCTTGAGTTCTGATCCTTGGGTCTTGAAATTGAATTCTGCATCCTGTAAGTCCTCTTGAGTCTCGAGTTCTGATCCTTGGGTCCAAAATTCTGAATCTTCACAATCCTGGGTGGTCAATCCGCATTTTTGAACCCTTTAATCTGAATTCTGGAGTCTTGAATTCTTAATCCCGAATCCTCAAGTCTTGAATCCTCCTGAATCGTGATTCGTGGGTTCAAAATCCTGTATCATCTTGAATGTTGAGTGCCGAGTCTTGCATCTTGATTCTTAAATCCTGAACCTTACCTTTGGATCCTGAGTTATGAACCCTCTTGAGTCCTGAAACCTCGCGAGTATTAAACCCTGAATCTTCCTGACTCGTGAATTCATGAATCCTGGATTCTCAGATTTAAGTGCTGAACCTTAGAACACGAATCCTGAACCTTTAATCCATAATGCTCTTGAGTCTTGAACCAAAGTTCGAATCTCTAAGTTGAAGCTCAAGATTTTGAGCCTGTAGTAAACTGTAAGCTTCCCAAAAGCGAATCCAAAACATAATCGTTCGTTCTATGACAACAACAGTTGCGCAAAAAACCGCTACAAAGTACGGACCCCAAAGGTCATGGGGTCAGAATGGATCCATGGCAATAATCAAATTAAAGTGTAGATATTGCAGGTTATAGGTTAATGCCCACTTGTATATATACGAGCATCGAATGGCACGCGATGCTCTCCTGTAACGATGGCGAAACTCGTTCTGGTCCTGCTTGCGGCATTCGCCAATCAGGTAAGCTCCACCACGAAGACGTTAGTCACCTACTCTTTGTACCACCAGGTGTTGACTTCAACCCACACCAACTACGACCTAGACAACTACCTTACGGAGATCAAAACCGAAATTCGTGACTTAACGGTGTACCTGGAGGACGTTTTCCCAGGCAATCACCATGCGATCACCACGGTCACTTGGCAGTGCCATCGCGTGGCGGAAGCAATCAAAAACGTCGTGACCAAACTGAGCGATGAGGTACGACCGGCCCCCGCCCCAACCTTTAACGTAGCGACCTCGTTTTAGACCACCAAGCAACACGAGAGCGGCGAGATCATCTTCAAGCAGCTGTGGTTCGCCCTCCAAGAGGTCCACACGTCCCTCCAGCAGATCGCGCTTTCGAGCGACGTCACCGACGTCAGCGAGATCAAGAAGCAACTAATACTCACCCTTCAGCTCGTCACCGAAACCTTCGAGAAAATGATGCACGTCACCTACGTCCACTACCCCGAATTTCGCGCTACGCTCAAGACCATCTTCGGGGATTACCTCGCGGCAATCCGAGACATTCGTCGCGCGTTCGAAACCGAACACCACGACGGAGCGCAACGTGTCAGCGCCAAGTATCTCGCAATGGACATCACCAGGTTCTCGCAGAAGGTCCGCTACAACCTGAAGGAGGCGGCCCAAGGAAACTTCGCGTGGTTCTACGAGGGGGTAGGTAAAATCGTTCGCGAGCTAGAGACGAGGGATAGCGTCGGCGATGACGAAATCGACGTCGTCCTTCGCAATCTCAAGATGAAGCTGTCGAAGCTCGAGCACGACAAGGACTTCGGTGACGTCGCCACGTTGTGCGTGCAGCTGGTGCACTTCGTCGAGAACGGATCGCAACGTAAGTCGACTCGGTTCGGTTCGCCCGATTGAACCTTTCGGTTTCAGATGAGCGCGCCGATCGTTTCATTCAGAAGGTAATCTATGACTACCTGGGGCTGGTTAGGAGATTGAGCGAAGGGCTCGACTCTGAGCAACAACATCGCCATAGCTTTGACAGGCACATGTAAAACGCGAATAAATGTCTTCCTAAACTCTTTACTATTTTAATGACCCCCCCCCTCCCCCGCCCTCGTACTAGTTGTTTACAAACGGTTTACAAAGTACGGACCTCACGATCCTAATTATCAAGTAAACTACGTATAGTATCAGCAATACTGCCAGCAGCAGAACCCCAATAACGTCCAGGAGAAGATACTGGTACCAAGGTATGTCCAAGAGCGGGCTTCTCAGGTGCTTTGCCCCACTGTGGTGTATGACATATTCGGTCCACCAGACCGCCTTTTCGATTCCCGTCATCGGTTGGTCTTGCGCCAGTTCGGCCAACCTTTTCAAGGTGTTGCGGTACCTGAAACTTGCACCGTCAGTTTTGAGGACTTAGAGGAAGACCACTTACTTGGGGTTGTTGGCGACCTCCAAAATGGCCGCCTTGAGTTTTTCCTTGTCCAAGGTCCGGTGGTCGAGTTCCAGACCGATTCCTTTGCTCGCCATCCTTCTTACATTGTACGGTTGATCGCCGTAGAACGGTATTCCGATCATCGGCACGTGGGCGTAGATCGCCTCGTCCATCGACTGCAAGCCCCCTTGGGTTATGAATAGTTTGATATTAGGATGCCCTGTAGACAGTTATCGCTAAGTAACATGGCGGACAGGCGCGAAAGAAAAGTGCGACAGGATCTGGACAATCAAAAAGAGAATGGAAAAGAACGGACACGAGAGGGCTAGGGCTAAATGGTATTAGCAGCAGAGGTGAGACGGCGCAGCCGAAGCTATGTCCCCCATCATTGTATTAAAAGAAACACAATAATGGGCATATCTTCGGCTTCTCGCCTCGCCCCAATTTCTACCCTTCCGAGATGACGCTTCAGTTTCGGCAGCTTGAGCAAAGCGGAAAAAGCGAGGAGGTCAAATAGAGCAACAAGTAGAGGAAAAGAGCTTCTCGCGTTGCTACGCTCCTGATACAATGATTTTTTGAAGACCAAGCAACTGTATCATCCTCTTGCGTTCCTGTGATCCTGATGCAATGATTCTTTGTTTTGTATTAGGAGAACATAGGTGCAGTAGGAGGTGTCTGTGAATGCAAGTGATTATCTATCTCGAGTTCATACGATCCTGATACAATAATTTCTTTGAAAATCAAGAATTCTCTTTCCCTCCTGTTCTTCTGATGCAATAATTTTGTAAGAACAATTCTGCATTAGAAGAACATTAGTGCGCCAGGAAGTGGATGTGAATGCTACGCTCCTGATACCATGTTTTTTTGAAGACCAAGAAACTATATCATTCTCTTGTGTCCCTGTGATCCTGGTGCAATGGTTCTTTAAGTTTTGTATTAGGAGAACATAGTGCAGTGGGAGGTGACTGTGAATGCAAGTGATTGCCTATCTCGAGTTCATACGATCTTGATACAAAATTTCTTTGAAAATTAAGAAACTGGCTCATCCTCTTGCCCTCCTGTTCTTCTGATGCAATAATTTTTAAAGGAAAATTCTGTATTAGAAGAACATTAGTGCGCCAGGAGGTGGGTGTGAATGCTACGCTCCTCGTACGCTCCTGTTATCACGGTTTTTGGAAGACCAAGGAATTGTATCATCCTCTAGCGTTCCTGTGATCCCGGTGCAATGATTCTTTAAGTTTTGTATTAGGAGAACATAGTGCAGTAGGTAGGTGTCTGTGAATGCAAGTGATTCACTCTCTCGAGTTCATACGATCCTGATGCAATAATTTCTTCGAAAATCAAGAAACTGTCTCATCCTCTTGCCCTCTTGTTCTCCTGATGCAATAATTTTCAAAGGGAAATTCTGTATTAGAAAAACATTAGTGCACCAGGAGGTGGATGTGAATGCTACGCTCCTGATGCCATGGTTTTTTGATGACCAAGAAACTGTATCATCCTCTTGCGTTCCTGTGATCCTGGTGCAATGATTCTTTAAGTTTTGTATTAGGAAAACATAGTGTAGTAGGAGGTGTCTGTGAATGCAAGTGATTCTCTATCTCGAGTTCATACCATTTTTTGAAAACCAAGCAAGTGTATCAACCTCTTGCGTTCCTGTGATCATGGCGCAATGATTCTTTAAGTTTTGTATTAGGGGAACATAGTGCAGTAGGACGTGTCTCGAGTTCATACGACCCTGATGCAATAATTTCTTTAAAAATTAAGAAACTGACTCATCCTCTTGCCCTCTTGTTCTCCTGATGAAATAATTTTCAAAGGAAAATTCTGTATTGGCAAAACATTAGTGCGACAGGAGGTGGATGAATGCCATAATCCTGGTGCAATGATTCTTTAAGTTGTGTATTAGGAGAACATAGTCTAGGTAGGTGTCTGTGGCAAGTGAACATCATACGAGTGCGACAGGAGGTGGATTCTTATGATTATGCCACGCTCCTGATACCATGGCTTTTTGAAGACCAAGAATCTGTACCATCCTCTTGCGTTCCCGTAATCCTGGTGCAATGATTCTTTAAGTTGTGTATTAGGAGAACATAGTGCCGTAGGAGGTGTCTGTAAATGCAAGTGATTCTTTATCTCGCGTTCATACGATCTTAATACAATAATTTCTTTGAAAATTCTTTTATGAGTGCTAAACATTAGAGGTATTTGGGGGAAAACATACCACTGGGGGGGGGGGGGTTATGGAATACCCCCAAGCTACAAACATTTGATTATATTTTCCCAAAGGTTACCATGAGAGTGCTAGGGATAACAAGAATTAAAGAATCCTCCTTTGCTGAGGGAACTGCTGGGGGGATTCCATACCCTCCAGACTCCCCACCCCCCGGTACAACGTTCTCCCACAAGAATTGGGTAAATTCGATGGTGATTTGTCGCAAATTATCATATGAGTGCCAAAGCTGAAGCTGAAGGATATCTGTAAAAGATCTAAAGAGCATCTAAAGGACAGGACCTGAGGAGGACTCAAAAAAGACCCGAAAAACACCTGAAGAAGAATCTAACAAAAAAAAAGTAAAATGGTTTTGAAGATAATTAGAAAAAGTGTCCGATGGTGGTCTAAGAATCTGGAAAAAATCCCCGAAGAGGATCCGAAACGGATAAGGGGAATTAGAAGCGGATCTGAATGGAGTCCGAAAGGGGCTGTGAAAAAGATCTGAAGATGATCACCTGAAGAAGACCTGTAGAAAACCCGAACGGAATTTTGAAAGGGGTCGCAACAAAAACCCAAGGAGGACAAGGTACCCAAAGAACATATGAAGATGACATGAAGACCACCCAAAGAGAACCTGTGGAGAACCTGAAATAATTCTGTAAAGAACCCCTAGAAGCTCTACAGCTTAAGATCTAAGGAGGACGTGAAGGGAATCTAAAGAGGATCTGAACAGGATATGAAGATGGTTTCAAAGGGCTCTCAGAAAAACCTGAAGAAAACGTCATACTGACTTACTCAAAATATCCTGTTGCGGTAACCATTTAGAGACGATCACGTTTTCTGGTAGACTCTCGAGCGTATCACTTTCGAATTTCCACACAACGGTCAGCGGAAGTTCCGCAAAGGTCTCCAGAATTAAATCGATCAGACCTTTTGGCAAGTATTCACTTTTGACGTTCGATCCCATGCTGAAGTAGACGAAACCGTTACTCGCGGCGTCGAGTGTCCGTTGCCAGCGGCTTGGAAGTGGCTCGGCCGGTGACCTGTGTGAGCCCGCGCCGATTTGAACTACGCCAGGCACCAAAGGTCGGATAGGGTGGAAAATTGGGTCCGCGTTCACGAAGAGCAAGCTGACGTTACGCCATAGTTCCCGAACGGGCGGATACTGACGGCCGAAGTGCTTTTCGACAAGTTCCTGCTGGGTGCTTTGCCCACGGCGCGTGGCATAAGTCGCTTTGAGTAACGTCACGAAACTCATCAACCGTTCCATCAGTGACATGGGCGTTCCAACGGATAGCAGCGGATCTGGGTACGCGCTGGGATGGACAGGATTTCCCACCGCCTCGTAGATGGGATTTAGCGCCTCACATGAAAGCATTCCGATCGACGGGCAGCCGAAGCGTGTCGCAAACGCGAAAAGGCTGCCGTAAAAGTACTCGCCGATAACGAGATCGAATTCCACCCGCGGATCCTTAATCATTTCGTGCACCGAAGGGTGCCCCAGGTACTTATCGAGCACGAACCCCATTCGCGAGTAATACCTAGTGAGCTCTGTATAAACATCCGGTCGTTCGTCCTTGGCCACCTCCTCCAAGAACTCGTTGAATGGGAGATGGATCTCGCCTAAATCGATCTCGGTCAGATTCGATAGGTTTGGATCTCCAATGGGATGGGTGGTGATCGTGGTCACGTGATGTCCTCGTAACGATAGCTCCCTCCAAAGTGGCCTGAAGACTATGTTATGGCTGTAGGCTGGCGTTGGAACGATGCCCAAGATTCGCGCGCCATTCCCAACGTGTACCAGTACAATAAACTTTAGGAGCACTATCATTTTCCTTTCACTTCACGTCGAGAACTAATAATAGATCGGCGGGTCAACAGATAGCGCTATCTGTTGCTAATTTCACAACATACGATCAAATTTCTAAATTCCACTATCTTCGATCGTCTCAGTCCCAAGGACTCCGCCACAAAGGAAGAGCTTAACTGTGGCTCAAGCCTGTTTTTTCCCAAATGGAGCAAATTTACGCCAGGATTGCCAGAAAGCGGGTAACATAATAATAGGGTCAAAAGATAATCTTGACCCGAAGAAGATCTACAGAGGATCTAAAGCGTAGAACCTGAGGAGGACCCGCAGAAGAAGATTTGAAGGAGACCTGAAGAGAACCCGAAAAAGATCTGAAAAGAACTTTGAAAAAATCTGAAGAGAATCTGAAGAAGGCATATTTACACCTTCTTCAGATCCTCTTCACTTCCAAAGGCCAGGAAGAGGACCTACAAACCCCCGAAGAGACAAGGAATCTAACGAATCCGACCTGAGGATAACCTAATAAGGACGATCAGAAGAAGACCTTTCAAAGAGACTCTGAAGCGAATATGAAGGATCTTTAGGAGAAGTGAAGAGGATCCGAGGAGCACCGGCAAATGGCCTGAAGAACACTTGAAAGAGATCTAAATCGAACCTGAAGATAACTAGATAATGACCTGCATAAAACCTAAAAAAAAGACTGAAAAGTACTTCCAGGGGGGTTTAAAGGATCTGAAGAAGACCTGAAAAGAATCGAAATTGAAAGGCACTTGTAGGGAACTTGAAAAGGACCTGAAAGGGGATCAAAAGAAATCTGAAGAAAAACCTGAAGAAGACATGGATCTAAAGGTGATTTAAAGATAATATGAAGAGGACCTGGAGAAGACCTAAGGAAGATCTACATAAAATATGAAAGAGATCTAGAGAGGATCTAAAAAGGCTCTCAGAGGAAACCGAAGGAGACCTAAACAAAATTTGAATAGGATTTCAAGAAGACTGGAAGAATATCGGAATAGTATTGAGGAGGATCTGAAGAGATGTGAAGACGGTCGAAATAGGACCTGAAGGTGACATGAAGATGCCCTACAGGGAATTTGAAAAAGATCTGAAGAAGATTCGCAAAGGACTTGAAGAGAGGGCCTGTAGAGGATCCGAAAAAGGCCCACAAGAGAGCATGAAGATTACTAGAAAAGATCTGAAGAAAAAATACATCTTAAGATGGTCAGACGAGGATCTTAAGAATATTTGAGGAGTGCACCTAAACATGAGTGAGAATTGAGGGTGATGTGAAGAAGATTTCAAAGAAGAAAACTAAAGAGCGTCTGAAAAGCATCAGAATAGGATCTAAAAAGAGCATGTGGAGAGAACCAAGATGATAGAAAAAGAGAAGGGTTACCTGAAGAGGATCTCAAGAGACCTTGAAGATGAACTGAAAAGGGTCTAAAGGATTTGAATCTCAAGTGGGGCAGAAAACAATTTGCAGATTGAAGTTTCAGGAGGATCTAAAGGGGAACTGAGGAAGGTCTGAAGAGGATTTGAAGAAAACCGAAGGGTGGCAAAGGATCCAAGGGTTCACAGGGGACTCAGGGAAGATTTGAAAAGAACGTAAACAGGATATGAACGAGATTTGAAATGGACCTGAAGAGGACCTAAAAAGGATCTGAATGGGATTACAAGGGGATCTAAAAATGATTTAAAGAAGAGCACTCGAGTAGGACCTGTAGAATATTATAGGGGAAGCGAAGGAAGACCTGGGGAAAACGTAAAGAAGAGGAGAGTATTTGAAAAGAATCCTAGTAGACTTACAATGCCGAACCTGGACCAGTTCAAGGTCGCTCGCACCGCGCGCCATGTGGCGGTGACTTTGGCAAGTAGGTCAAGGCCATGCTCAAGGACATTCGCTTTCAAGGTCATCGGACGGCAATGACTGCCCAATTTTTGGTGTTGTCGTACTTCACTTTCAAGGATACCGAATGTCAACGATCCCATTTCACTCTATTATCTATTTTATTTTCAAGGTCATCAATCAGGTTCAAATTTGGGCCAGCGCTCGCATTTTTGGGTTCGATTCATGTTTCGGCAGAACGCGACGTGTTTGATGACCTTGAAAATAAAATAGATGAGCATCACAAAATGGCGGTTATTGACCTTTAATGACCTGGGGAGCACAATGTGACACCACAAAAAATGGAGTCGTTGACCTTTTGGTAACCTTGAAAGTGCAAAATCACAACACAAACAAGGTGTCAGTGACCTTCGATAACCTTGACAGCGAATGTCCCTAAAATACTTTCCAAAGTCACCGACACTTAGCACGCGACCTTGTATATTAATTAACCTTAGTAGATTTGAAGAAGGAAAGTATCGACGTGGATCTGAAGGGTATGTGAAGAGGATCTAAAGAAGACCTGAAGATGAGTGAGGATGCTCTACAGAGAATTTGAAGAAAATCTGCCAAGGATCTGAAGAACATCCGAAAAAAAAGATATGAGGAGGATGAAGAGCTCCTGAAGAGGATCTAAAGATGTAGTGAAACGGGTCCGAAAGACGTGGAGACCTAAAAAGGATTTAAGTTTCAAGCGCGGATCAGAAAAGAATTTAAAAATCTGAAGATAATATGAAGAAAAAGATTGAAGATCATAAAGAGGAATTGAGGAAGATTGAAGAAGACCTAAAGGCGACATGAAGGGCGGCTCAGTTAAAGATTACTTTGTTGCTATTGGTGAGCCTAGAATAAAGTAGACGATTAGGAGAGGAGTTTTAGGAGGTTTTACCTCTTTCGATGGGTTCAGGTGACATAGAAGACCTTTGTGATGTGTTTGGAAAGGCTTCTTGATAGATCTTAAGGAAGAAGAATCCTCAGACAATCCTGAAAGGTTTTAGAAGGTCTTACGACACTACCATTGTCATGATGTCAAAAAGTCCCATGAGTAAATGAGGATTCGATATTCCTTTCTCTTTACCCTTTTACCCACCGGGGAGTCTGAAGAGTATGGAATACCCCCTAGTATATACGACACTTCCGTTATCATTTTCAAAAGAGGCCCGCCAGCACTACCCCTACCAAGAGAGTATTCAATACTCGCTCTGCCTTTTACCCCTAGCACTCTCATGGTGATCTTTGGGAAAAACTAATCGAATCTTCGTTTACTGAAGGGTTCCATACCCTCCGGCCTCACTCATACAACGTTTACCCTTAAGAACTTCCATACGGCTTTTTGGGAAGATCTTCTTCTACTCAGAAATGCGGTAGAAGATAGAACGCAGCACCGGAAGGTATGAAATACCCCCCCCCCTTCCAGTATACACACAACCGTTGCCATTAAAAAAAATCCCAGGAAAACCCCCATCATAGGAGGATTCGACATGGTAATTTTTGGAATAAGATAATCGAATCTTCGTTTACGAGGGGGAGGGTATATGTAATACCCCCCAAAGCTATGTTCTCCCCCCATAAAACGTTTATCCCTAAGACTCTTATACTACTTCTCGGGAGGATGACCGCAGCATTTTCTACTCAGCACTATGGCAGAGATTACGTAGCACTGGGGGGGTCTGGAGGGTATGGAATCCCCCCCAGCCATTAGAAGGCAAAATAGGATTCAATACCTCCTTATATTTTACTCCTATCACTTTCATGGCCCTCTTTGGAAAAAGGTAATCACACCTACGTTTTCTGGGGGGTTTTCCATACCCCCCAGGCCCCCCCGGTACGACATTCCATACTTTACAGGATCGTGGGAGTGAGTTCGATGACATTTTTTCGAAAAATTATCGTGTATTCGTAAGTGCTAACACCAAATGTTTTGAGAAATACCCCCAGCCATTAGAGGGTGTCCTTTGCAAAATAGGATTCGATACCGCCCAGTATTTACCGCACTACCGTTGTCATTTTAATAAAAAATCCCAGGACTCCCACTATAGGATGATTTGGCACTCTCATGGTAATCTTAGGAAAAAGATCTTCGTGTACTGTGGGGGGGGGGCATGGAATACCCCCAAAGCCTCCTGTGCTATGCCCCCCCCCCCCAATTTATCCCTAAGCGCTATACTACTTTTTGGGAAGATTATCACATTCACTTCTACTTAGAAGTACGGCAGAGAACGCAGCACGCACCGCAAGGTCTGGGGGGTACGGAATACCCCCCCAGTATATACACGGCACTGCATTTTAATAATAATAACAAGACATTTTAAAAAAAGGACTACCCCCACTAAATGAGGATTCGACACTCCTTTCTCTTTTGCCCCTGGCACTCTCATGATAATCTTTGAAAAAAGATAGTCGAATGGTCATTATTACTGGGGGGGGGGGGGGGGTATTCCACTCCGAAGAGTTTGGGGGTATGGAATTCCCCTCAGTATACACGGCACTACCGTTGTCATTTTCAAACAAAATCCCAAGAATATCCCCACCAAATGAGTATTCGACACTCCTCTCTAAAGATAATGGATCGGTTTACTGGGGGTATTCCAATCCCCCCCCCCCCCCTCGATCAACGTTCTCCCCTCATAAAACGTTTAGCCCTAAGAACTCTAATGCTACTTTTTGGCAAGATTTCCACATTCTATTTTACTCAGAAGTACGACAGAGAACGCAGCACCTGGGGGTCACTAACGTTGTCATTTTAATAATAGTAATAATAGGGCTTTATTCAAAAAAATTCTCAGGACTACTCCCACTAAATGAGGATTTGACACCCCTTTCTCTTTTGCCCCTGGCATTCTCATGGCAATCTTTGAAAAAACATAAGCGAACGGTCGTTATTACGGGGGGGGGGGGGGGGGGTATTCCTCCGCGGGGAGTTTGGGGGTATAGAATACCCCCTAGTATACACGGCACTACCGTTGTCATTTGTCCTACCAAAGTACTCCTTGGCACTCTCATGATAATCTTTGGAGAAATATAAAATTACCTTCGTTTAGGGGAGGGGGGAGGTATGTTTGCAGCATTTACGGTACTACCGTTGTCATTTTCAAAAAATCCCAGGACTACCCCCACCAAATGATCAGGATTCGACACTCCTTTCTAAAGATAATGGATTCGGTTACTCCCCGGTGCTTCTTATACTACCTACTTTTGGGGAAGCCACATCCTGTTCTCTTCGACAGTACGGCAGAGAACGTAGCACCGGAGGGGGGGGGGGGAAGAGTATATAATCAAAGGTAAAGAAAATCTAAGATCTTTATAGACCTACTTTATTTAAAATAACAACAAAGACACAACTATCAATTCTTCTTCTGCTTCCGTTTCGGCTTCGAACGGAAGATGTACTTTACCAACCTCACAAGAGATTTAAGGAGGAAGTAAATTAAGTACAGCGCCACCGCAACCGTGACCACAATAATACCAATTACGTCCAAAAGCAGATACTGATACCAGGGAATGTCCAAAAGGGGACTTCTGAGGTGTTTCGCCCCTTTGTGACGTATCACGTACTCGGACCACCAGACCGCCTTCTCCAATCCGGTCATCGGTTGATCCTGGGCCAACTCAGCCAAGTACTTCAGCGTGCTCTTGTACCTAAACATCTCCCTCTCATTTTTTTTTAAAGGAGACCGTTGTACTCACTTGGGGTTGTTGATCACTTCCAGTACGGCGGCCTTGAATTGCTCCTTGTTCAAGGTGCGATAGTCGAGTTCCAAACCGAAACCCTTCCGCACCATCTTCTTCACGTTGAACGGTTGGTCGCCATAGAACGGAATGCCCACCATCGGCACGTGTTCGTAGATGGCCTCGTCCATCGACTGCAGACCGCCCTGAGTTATGAAGAGCTTAATATTGGGATGCCCTGGAAATACAGAGAGGAATTTGAAGCGGTTCGACTGACTCCATGATAAACCGACGTGGCGAGGCGCCCGAAGAGTCCCACTTACTCAAAATGTCTTGCTGAGGAAACCACTTCGAGAAGACAAACTTAGTGGACTTATCCTCGATACGTTCATCGTCCAACTTCCACAATATTTTGTAGGGTAACTCGGCGAGTGCGCCCATGAGGACCTCCAGGTCGTTTTGCTTTAAGAACGCGTTTTTCGAGCCCAAATTAAAGTAGATGAAACCTTCGGTGGCGGCGTCCAAAGTGCTTTTTAGCTCCTACAAGGTGGCGCGGGTAAGACGATTTGGTCAGTTTTCGGATTTACCTTCGGCAACGGCTTGGGGGGCATCCTATGGAATCCGCCTCCAACTTGGATAACAGTCGGGACCAACGGCCTGACGTGGTGGAAGATCGGGTCCGAGTTGACGAAGAGCAGGCTGATGTTTTGCGACAAGTCCTGCACGGAGGTGCGGATGCCGAAGTGCTTTTCGACGACTTCCTGCTGCAACCCCTGCAGGTAGTCCAAGAGGTACGTGTTCACGTGGTAAAAGAGGAAGCTGACGACGCGTTCGGCCAGGGACAGTTGTCCTTCGAACGGGAGCAGGGCGTCCGGGTACAAGGTGGGGTGGGTTGGACTTCCGACCATCCGGTGCATCGCGTTCCAGGCATCCAGCGAGAACATGCCGATCGATGGACAGTCGAACCTCTCGGCGAACGCGAGGACCCCGGTCAGGAAGTACTCGGCGATCACCAGGTCGAATTTCGCGTTCTTGTCGTTGATCAAGCTTTTGACCGCCGGTTCGGCGAGCATCTGATCGACGGTCGCGATGGTGTCGCGAAATTTCCCAAAGATATTCGTCCGCGACTCCTGAAGCAGTTTCACCACGTGCGGGTCGTCACGGAACTTGCTCAGGTCGATCTCGGTCAAGTTGGTGAGCTTGGGATCGTTGATCGGGTGCGTCGTTATTGTAGTGACCTTGTGACCGCGCAGCGATAGTTCTCGCCATAGCGGCTGAAAGACTATTTGGTGGCTGTAGGACGGCGTCGGCACGATTCCCAAAATTCTCGCCCCGTTCGCGGTCGCCACCACGGCGAAGATACTTAGGAACACCAACATGTTTGCCTCTCAATGTCGACTTTAGTACTAATATGCTTAGTAATATCGGCCAGTGATTAGATAGTGAGTGATTTATGAACCGAAGGTCAGGGCAATTGCTCAAATTTTAAATAAGAGCTACAACCGTATCTATTTATACCCATAACTATAGCACGCATTATCTTCGGTACACTTTGGAGAGGGGACCGTTACACTACCCCATTATTGAAATGCTACCTGTGAGTTAATGGGGTGACAAAGGACTTACTTAGTACGTCTTGTTGAGGCACCCATTGGGATACCATTACATTTTCGGGCTTCCCCGGTAGATCGTCACGGTCAAACTTCCACAGAACCACAAAGGGCAGCTCTCCAAATGTCTTCATGATGGCCTTCAGCGAGTCCGGTGGTAGAAATTCGTTTCTGACGCTCGAGCCCAAGCTGAAGTAAATGAAACCCTGACGCGCCGCATCCAAAGCCGCCTTCAATTCCTGTGACAAACTTCCGGTAACGTCCCACTCTTTATGTAGCAACGCAAGTTACCTTCGGAAGGGGTTTCGCTGGAGCTCGTTGAAATCCCCCTCCGATCTGTACGACGGCGGGCACCAAAGGGCGCACCTGGTGAAAAACGGGGTCGGCATTGACGAAAAGCAGACTGATCTCCGACGCCATCTGCGCGACCGCCGGATACCCACCTCCGAAGTGCTTCGCCACCACCTCCTGCTGATCGGCGTGTAACCCGTGGAACATGTAGATCGACACAAAGTACGCGACAACACTCGCGACCCTCTCCATCAACCCTTGACCCTCCATCGCGAAGATACCCTCGGGGTAGACAACGGGATGCGTGGGATTTCCCATCGTCTTATAGATAGGCACGAGCCCATCAACGGAGATTATTCCGATGGACGGACAGCGGAACCGTTCGGCGAACGCGAACATGCCCGTGTAGTAATACTCGGCAATTACCAGATCGAAGCTCGCGCTCGGATCGGCGATCAGCTCCCTGACGGGCGCGGACCCCAGCTGCTCGTCGACGATCCGGATCATTTCCCGGTTAAACTGGCGAATCAGCTCGGGCGTACTCGTCGATGAGTTAATTACGTGAAGGAGTCGATGCGGAACGTTCAGGTCGATTTCCGTCAGCGCGGGATCTCCGGATGGGTGGGTCGTGAGGACGGTCACCTGGTGACCTTTGAGTGACAGCCCCTTCCACAGCGTTCGAAAGACGAGCTGGTGACTGTACATCGGGATCGGGGCGATTCCCAAAATTCTAGCCCCATTGGCCATCGACAGCATGCATGACACGAGGAGGAGCACGCACATTACTCTCGGAAAGAACATCATTACGTAATGGTTTAAAGTCACTATCACTATGTATTTATATCTCAATTGGGCGATATCAATGTGCAATAAACAGATAGCAGCGGCGACTCGTCACAGTAGCACGGGTACACGGTAATTTTTCAGGAAAATGCCATCGAACTCACCCCCATGATCCTGTGAGGTATGGAACGTCATACCGGGGGGTCTGGGGGGTTTGGAATACCCCAAGCAAACGTAGGTGTGATTACCTTTTTCCAAAGAGGGCCATGAAAGTGATAGAAGTGAAATATAAGGAAGTACCGAGTCCTATTTTACTAAGAGCACCCTCTAATGGCTGGGGGGTATTCCATACCCCCCAGACCCCCCGGTGTTTCGCTCGTCCTCAAAAACATCTAGTGTTAGCGCTACGAGTACACGATAATTTTTCAGGAAAATGCCATCGAACTCACCCCCACGATCCTGTAAAGTATGGAACATCGTACCGGGGGGTCTGGGGGGTATGGAATACCCCCCCCCAGCAAACGTAGGTGTGATTACCTTTTCCCAAAGAGAGCCGTGAAGGTGGTAGAAGTGAAATATAAGGAAGTACTGAGTCCTATTTTACTAAGAGCACCCTCTAATGGCTGGGGGGTATTCCATACTCCACAGACCCCCCGGTGTTTCGCTCGTCCTCAAAAACAGTTCGTGTTAGCACTACGAGTACATGATAATTTTTCAGGAAAATGCCATCGAACTCACTCCCATGATCCTGTGAGGTATGAAACGTCATACCGGGGGGTCTGGGGGGTTTGGAATACCCCCAGCAAACGTAGGTGTATTCCATACCCCCCAGACCCCCCGGTATTTCGATCGTCTTCAAAAACATTTGCTGTTAGCACTACGGGGACACGTTAATTTTCGAGGAAATGCCATCTAACTCACGCCCACGATCCTGTGAAGTATGGGACGTCGTACCGGGGGGGTCTGGGGGGTATGGAATACCCCCCCAGCAGCCGTAACTGTGATTACCTTTTTGCAAAGAGGGCCATGAAAGTGATAGCAGTGAAATAAAAGCAAGTACCGAGTCCTATTTTACTAATAGCACCCTCTAATGACTGGGGGGTATTCCATACCCCCCAGTGTTTCTCTCGTCTTCAAAAACATTTAGTGTTAGCACTACGAGGACACGTTAATTTTCGAGGAGATGCCATCGAACTCACGCTCACGATCCTGTGAAGTATGGAACGTCATACCGGGGGGTCTGGGGGGTATGGAAAACCCCCCAGCAAACGTAGGTGTGATTACCTTTTTCCAAAGAGGGCCATGAAAGTGATAGAAGTGAAATATAAGGAAGTACCGAGTCCTATTTTACTAAAAGCACCCTCTAATGGCTGGGGAGTATTCCATACCCCCCAGACCCCCCGGTGTTTCGCTCGTCCTCAAAAACATTACCCCCAGTGTTTCGCTCGTCCTCAAAAACAGTTAGTGTTAGCACTACGAGTACACGATAATTTTTTCGAGAAAATGCCATCGAAACTCACCCTCACGATCCTGTGAGGGGGTCTGGGGGGTATTCATACCCCTCAGCATATACGACACTGCCTTTTTTACGCCTAACAGTCACGAGGAAAAATAATGGAATGCTTGTTTCCTGGGGGTATTCCGAGGGATAAATGTTTTATGGGGGATAACATAACACCGGGGGGTCTGGAATACCCCCCAGTAAATACGATACTATCGTTGTCATTTTTAAAAGAGTCCTAGCACTACCCCTACCAAATGAGGATTCGACACTCCTTCCCCTGTTACCGGGGGACACTCGCATGGAAATCTCCGGAAAATATAATGGAATGTTCATTTCCTGGGGGTACTCTGACACGTTTTATGGGGGAAAACATAACACCGAGGGTCTGGGAGTATTAAATACCCCCCCCCCCCCCCCCCAGCATATACGACACTACCGTTGTCACTTTCAAAAAGGGTTCTCATATTTTGCATAGACATTCCTCTAGTGGTACCAAAACGTTTAAACACCTGCACGTTTTACTCGTCATAGCATTCTCATGAAAGTTCTCGTCGAAACGAATCGGTTTCTACAAATTATAACCTGCCTCCGCGATTACCTTTCGAAACTACGGTCCTTCTGCCTTTCCCTGATCAAACTGGCTTACGAGGTGAGGGGGAGAGAGGACTGGTTTTATCACATGGTACTTTAATGAGAGGTTTCAACGAAAGAAATTAATTTCCACCAACCTCAGACTCCTGAACGTAATCGGTAGGTACCTCAAGAGCGGAGCGTCGAAGGAGGGTACTCGCGAAGGGCCTAATGAGAGCTCAAGTCAAAGAAATCGCGCCATTCCGAAATCAGAGGGCTATAAATAACAAAATTCGGAAAGAAGCGCGGAATCAACGCTACGAAAGGATTAAGTAGCGCAATTGGTAATATCTCAAACACTGAAGTTTTGTGGAAGGTAAAATGGCCGGTCGTTTCGTGAACTCATTCAGAAGAAGAAATTCGGTAAAACCAGAGGGCGATCGATTTAGTATTTAGAGATGTCTACAAAATTATAAAAGTACGAGCGGACTTTTCCGACGAATAAATCCGAAGTTCAATCATTCCGAAAGCGAAAGTTTTTTTTTCGGAGATCCAGGTTTCGTTCTGTGTTATTCCGGTTTAAAGGACCATCCTCTTTTGGGAAAGACTGATTCGTACCATCGAGACCGCATCGATTCAAGCCTAATTATTGCGGGTTAAATGGTGACTAATGGTCGTTTTATGGGCATTTTAAGTGCAACGCGTTCCACGCAACACTTTCGCGCACATCCATCAAATGTCCACTAACATACTTTGTCTAAATACATTACTACAATCAGGGGCGACCCGAAAATATTCGATAGATAGGATATTCAAGTTGTTTCTTTTTTTTTGACCCCCCAGATCGAAAATAGCGCATTATCGAGACCTTATCTATCGTGTATACTGATAGTCTAATCTATAATGCACTTCGAAATTCTACATCACCGTGCGATGATGTTTCCGGTTCTAATTTTGTGCGCGCTCATTTACGACGTGAAAACCGCCAGAATTCTCAGCTACGTGCCGACCCCATTGTTCAGCCATCAGTCTGTGTTTCGTCCACTGCTGAGGGAGCTGTCTCTGCGCGGACACCAGGTCACTGTGCTGACCACGCATCCAATGAACGACGTCGATCTCACCAATTTGACGGAAATAAACTTGGGCCTCGCGAGCAAGATCCCGCGGATACCAGACGTGATCAAGGCGTCGCGCTCCAATGCCATCGATGGGCTTGCCTGTTTCTTCTTGGAGATGTACGAGGTGATGGACCAGCATTTGGATTACGCCCCGGTGAAGAAGCTAATACACGACAATGCGACCGGGTTTGATCTGGTGATCGCCGAGTACTTCTACGGTATCCCAATGGTGTTCTCGAAAAGGTTTCGCTGTCCGGCCATTGCAATGCTCCCGATGGACGCGTGGAACAATCACTACAAATGGACTGGTAGTCCTACGCATCCCGTTCTATTTCCAGATGCGCTGATAGCCACCGACCGTTCGCCCCTTCTAGCGCGACTCAAAAGTTTCATCTCGTCGTTCGCGACCAACTCCAAGCTGCTGGAGGCGTCGCTTGAGCGCGAACAGACGCTTGTGTCAAAACACTTCGGGCACTATCCGCCCGTTCGCGACATTTTCCAAGAGATCAGCTTGCTCCTCGTAAACGTGGACACAATTTTCCATCCGATTAGGCCGATTACGCCCAACGTGATACAAATAGGTAGTGGATTCCATAGGTCCTCGACCGTCCAACACCTCCCCCAGGTACACCGTGAACCCCAATCGAGTTCGGCACGACATTCAGATTGATCGTTGCAGGACTTACAAGAGACATTGGACGGGGCGACCGACGGATTCGTCTACTTCAGCTTCGGAAGCACGGTGAGGGGCGAGAGTCTGCCACCGGAAACTCTACAAACTTTCTCTGACGTCTTCCGCGAGCTTCCCTACGTGGTCCTGTGGAAGTTCGAGGGGCGTCTGCCGAATAAGCCCGACAACGTGATCGCATCGAAGTGGTTCCCTCAGCAAGCCGTTTTGGGTAAGTGCCCTCGTCGCCCGACGAAAACTCCTCTGTAATTACCTGCAGGTCATCCCAATGTTAAGCTGTTCATCACTCAGGGCGGGTTGCAGTCGAGGGACGAGGCGATCCACGCGCGAGTTCCGATGCTCGGAATTCCATTCCTCGGTGACCAATTTTACAACGTGAGAAGGATGGCGAACCTGGGGTTCGGGTTGGAGTTGGATCACGATGGTTTACGAAAGGATGAGTTAAAGGCGGCGATTCTGGAAGCGATCGAGAACCCAAAGTGAGCGCACTGACCCTTTTATGCTGGATTGCCCATTGCCATTTTAGGTACAAGGAGACGATTACAAGGTTGGCCATGCTAGCCGAGGATCAGCCCATGACTGGGCTTGAGAAGGCCGTCTGGTGGACGGAGTATGTGATACGCCACAAGGGTGCCAAGCACTTGAGGGGCCCTCAGCTCAGTGTACCTTGGTATCAGTATCTACTGTTGGACGTGCTTGGTGTTTTGGCAGTGACTGCCTCGCTGATAGCTCTTTTTATTTATGTTGTAGTAAAATCAGTCATACGACTACTTAAGCGCCAGTCTGTAGTAAAACCGAAAATAGAGTAGTTACAATCCATCAGTGTTTAGCTGGAAGATCGGAAATGTATCAGAAAAAAAATCCAAGGATCTACTGGTCACAAGAAATCCTTTATCGACATGATGGCACCTCGATGTCGCTTTGTAAATGTAACTAAGCCGTGAGGGCTAAACGTTTTGTGGGAGCAGTTTTGCACTCGGGGGTCTGCAATACCCCCCATTATGGAAATTATCCTTTGCTAATCCTTTATCGACCAGATGACGACCTGATGGCGCCTCGATGTCGCTCTATATTTGTTGTTCTGCGGATTTAAATTCTGTAGAGTGTGGTTGTCGTAATGGCTTTCGGAAGTCTCGGGTTTCAGCGAGCCGTAGATGGCAGAAGATCTTGTTACCAAAAGTTCTGAGATCATCGTCTGCATTGTAAAAATGCAATTCAGCAGGATTTCAGTGCGTGGATTTCTTGAGGAACAGTCTAATTTTCCTACGCTCTTGCAATCTGCAGCCCCATTGTTTGATTTTTCCGAGTCATTGTCGTCGTAAGGAGAACGGTTTCGGGTTTATTTTGTCTCAACAGCATTTCCTACCGGAGGACATCCCATCTATGACGTACGGTGATATTTATTTGTTAAATTAAGGGTTGTAGTGGAACATAATTGATATTCAGGTTCACAAAGACCGTGGCCACAAAATTGATAGTATAGTAGTTCGTCTGAGCACTTCCCTTCAAGGTCTATGCTAAACTTCGATCCTATATTTCATTGGTGGTCAATTGTAGGGGAGGGGGGAGTCCTCCAGGAAGACAGTCACATGACTCCGGGTAACCAGAAATGAAATACCCCGTTACAGTAATGGATATTACTCATTTATTAGTTCTCCTGATATCCGGAGAAGATTTCCAGGATTTTTGCCAACCAGACACTCATATAATAGGAGAAAGTGACTATATTCTCTTGAACCAACCGTTCTTGGAAGATTAAACAAAAATAAGGTATTGAAATGGCCCATTTATTTCTTATGTGCTCCTGGTAACCAGCGAAAATTTACTGTACGAGTTGAAGGGTTCCAATTCGAACCTACCACGCACATAATTAATTCAAATAGTAATTTTTGAATTTCATTACAATTTATTTGTTTGGTATAAGTACAACATTTTACATTTTTCAATTAGCAATACTGGGAAAAGTATATAAGGGCCCAGCCACATATGTATTGGACCAAAGCAGATATTCAACACTCTTATCAACGGCAATAATTATAAAATAAACAAAAAGGTAAAGCATTCATTTGGTCCAATACATATGCGTCTGGGCTCGTACAAAGTGCCATTAACTTTTATTTGAAGCAGTGGTCTTGGTCACCTGCCCATGTGAAAATTGTCCAATTCCATGGATTTGTCGGATGGTCGACGTGAAGAAACAATCTTAAGGATAGGAATAACTGTAACGAAAAACCGTTATGACATCTAAAACTGGTTGATCGCAAAGCCCTTCTTTACCAAAAAGTTTTCCGCACGAGAGACCAGTCACCTGTTCCAGGGGTGGGATCCTGCTAACAAAAAATCAACAGTTTTGATTTGAGTGTACTTGTGGTGTGCTTACATTGTTTGAGCAGGATCAAGTTGGCGGAGAAATTCTCACCAGCGTGGTTGAAGTTCACGTGCCTTGTCTGAGAACAATCAATGAGATTAGTGGGACAATTCTTATTAAAGCCCATTTACTCACCTTCCGTTAAAGAGTGCAATCCTTCTTCAAAGTTAAATCCGCAGAAAACAATCACTTCGCTTTGTAAAACGGTATGGCTATGAATCCATAGTCATACACATTGATACAAAGCAAACTGATTGATCCCACGAGAGCAACTTTGCGAAGAATAATTAGTTATTTTCTGTTGTTAAACGGAGATTTCCATAATTCACTAAAGATCACTTTTAGTTGCACTATTCACTTCACTTTTCCCCCACTGCTAAATACACTAAGAAAATACAAACATGCGCCCTACCTTTATAAGACTGCTCTTCCAGAATCTGAAACAAGAGAAAGTTGAATTAATACAATTGCAAAGAAAAACATTATTTAAAATTAATCAAAAAAATGTATGTTGGGGGAGGGAGAAGTTAATTTTTCTTTATTGAAGGAGACGCCAGAAAGTGAAGCGTTATTACATTTGCTACTACGTCTTAATAAAGAAGTGAACATTTACCTTTAGCCTTATTAATTCTGACTCGGGAAGCACCGGGAGTTCACGACCGCGGGCTACTGGCATGGATTCTCTTCGAACGCCATTACCAATAACTGAAAAATAAAAAAAACGCTATTACCTCTGGTTTTTGTGTAGAACAAACAATTAGAATTATAATTAATTTTCGACATTCAATAATTTTTTTCATTGTGCTACGTTACGTATGAAATCAAAATTTGGTTTGGAAATTTCCGTTAATGACAGTGAGGTACTCACCTCGTTTTCGTGAACCATGTCCATATAATCCAGGCTTAAATTCGATCTGATCCATCGCAGAAGTCGTCGGCAATGCTGGATTAAGGGGGAGACTATGGAGGCTACAGCGAATTTTACGCATGACATTAAAATTCAGTTTTTTATTATACAGGGTGTTCCTAAATATGGAAGGGGCTAATTCTTTGGCTTATTTTATGACTAAAGGTTCATATAAACATAGGTCCGCTCCTTTACAGATGTACAGGGTGTTATAATTTCAACGCACACTTTACAAATTAAACCTTTAAGTTATAAACATATGCAAACACAAGTTACAATTTCAAATGCAAACTGTCAAAACTAATACTAATGCACCATTTTAAAAATGAAAAATGAAAATTGATTTTTTTCTCAATAACGATCGAAAATACGCTAACATGACAAAACAGACAATCAAATTCTTATTTTACAATCTGCGAGTGGCGCACAGAAAAAAGTTCAGTGGAAGAAAATGGAACATGACACCTGAAAAACAACACCCTGTAGATTCTCACTACCAATGGTGTAAGCCCTTCAGCATAAGTTAGATTTCAAATTTGAGCAAAATATCTAAAAAATTGCAGAAGATATAAAAGAAAAAACTGAAACAACCTTGAAATTTTAACACCCTGTAGATCGGTAACGAAGCGTTTGCGAACCTATGTTTATATGAACTTTTAGTCATGAAATAAGCCCTTGCGTATTTACATCATATGTAGGAACACCCTGTGTATGTAAATCAGAGAGAGGTATTTTGAAAACAGAGGGGTGGCACCATACCACTAGAACTCTCCGGGGTAGCGCACCGGAAACTAAAAAAGGGTAGGAACCAGGCACCTTTAAGCAACCTGACCTTCCACCTAATGAAGTGGGGCAACATGGGAGCTCTAAGCAACCAGGTAACGCACCTACGGAAGTCTGGGACGCAAAAGGGACACCGGTCTGATGACAGCACTCCCAAGGAAAGTAGCTCGAAAAAGGCAAACACTGGGGCCGTAAAGGATACCAGAACCTTTAGCGAAGCAGCTAGAGACTTCAGAATGGCTTTTGGTCCATGAAAGACCTGGAAGGAACGCTGGAAGACCCAAGCCACCAATAGACCAAAATGTCGCAGTAAAAGAACCGACTGGGACCACCCCTAGTACTATAATAATAACAATGATATGTATGTCGAAAAAGAATGGGCGGTAAAAACAATAATTTTTTGTAAATAAACCAAGGGACCAAATAGTTTCAAAATTTAGTTTCTAGTTCAATTGTTTGCTGACAGTATTGACGATTGATTAAAGATTTTTGAAATGACTTTGTATTTGTACACGGTGTCCGAAACGTATAGAATATCCTATAAAATATTGTTTATTTAATTTTTTATCACATGGAATTTTATTTTTTTATAACAAAAGTGCAACAGATAATTTTTTTTTTGAATTCCAATACACTTCTTTTGCCAACTTTTTTGATAGTGTTTTGTAAATTTTGAGAAAATCGAGAAAAAGTGGGTGTAGATGTATTTCAACAACGTTCATCTAGTCACTCATGATCGTTTTGTGCTCATCTAGATATTGAAACAACTGATTGCGACTGTGACAATAGTACGTGAACTTGAAGAGAAAAGTTACTAATTTAGATAGGTGGGCGTTCACTTGTTTCAATATCTAGATTAGCATAAAACAGTCATGGGTAGCAAGATCAATGAGCATTCTTGGACGTTCTTGGAATACACCCACCCGCAGTTTTTCGCGATTTTCTTGATTTTTTTAATATTTCACATTTTTGAAAAGGGAATAAAAAACTCTATCAATTAAGTTAGATCATTAAAAAAATTACCTGTTGCGCTTTTGTTTAAAAAAAATTAAAAAATAAAAAATTCCATGTGATGAGAAATTAAATAGGTACCAAATAAGTTATTTGAAACATTTTTGAAAATATTGATGTTTACCATACGATATTCCATACTTTTTGGACAACCTGTATAGCACACGATTCTATTGGCAGAGAAAAGGCATAGAAATAATAATTTTAAAATTTTCAAAGTGACAAAAAATATTGAGTGGTACAACACTGTTTTTCTAAATAAACAAAGGAATCAAAAAGTTTGAAAATTTAGTTGACAAGGTAGTGGGGGGGGGGGAGGCTTTTGTAGGTTCCCCTAGCTCAGAAACCCTTAACCCAGCACTGGTGGTAGGCGTAATTCTCACAGGTTGAGTGAAGTCCGATGGGACTGTAACAATCGACGAGATTAGTAATCAGGTAACCATGTAATGCGAGTTCAAGTACAATTTTTGTTTTGTTTATGAAGTAATTCATTAATATATTATGAACACGCACTTACCTTCCTCTAAGCTGAACTTGGTGCAATAACAAACGAAAGTATAATAATCCAATACTATGTCACAAGGGTGACAGACAGAGAAGATTGTTACAACTTGCGTAGAGTTATTAACACGAAACTCATGCGAAGAGCAATTGTTGATCTTCCTTCTTGTTAATATATTCACTATTCACTTTAACCCCCCTTACAAGAAAATATGAAAAGCAATACACCATGCAGAAAAGGAAAAATCCTACCTTTATGAGGCCGCCTTTCTGCAATCTGTAACAAAGAGAAGATTTATGTTAGAAATGATATTAAAATATTTTGTGTTTTGAGTATTTATGGTTTAAAACAATTATAAATTTTGACTGGGACAGTGAAGCATTTGTCTGCGTTTTACATCTTTGATAAAGAAATTGAAACTTGTAATAAAAGGAATGAACACTTACCCTTTAGCCTCATTAATTCAGTCTTTCCCTGGAAGAACCATCAAGCCTTGTAAAGATGAAACACTGCAGCCCAAATTCGCCAAAAACTGAAAAGAGAAATATATTCAAATAAAATCAATCGCTCAGTTAATCAAAATGTTTCTATAATTATTCAATTTATTGATATTTTTTGAAAACAATAGGTACCATGTGCGCATTTGATTTTTACTATAACTCTCGTCAGGAAAGATTGCCGGTCACAGCACACCTTGTGTCGATCTACGATGTATGTTTTTCTTAAGATGCGAGCGACTTCCGGACTAGGATCGTGACAATGTTGAACGAAAAGTCTTTTTGTTCAACATTGACACGATACCATCCCGGAAGTCGCTCACATCTTTACAAAAACATAGATTGTAGACCGGGATCAAGTGTTCTGTGACCGGCAATCTTTCCTGGCGAGAGGTTTATATATTTCATGAGAGAGGTGTATGTCAACACAAAGCACCTCTCCAGGGCAAGGTCAGTAGAACACAATCAACCATACTGCATAATTAGGTGCTATAATTAAATGTCCTATTTCCGAATTAAATGCTCCTTTTTTTTTAAATTATGACAGAATGAACTCAGCAGACCACCGACTTATTCTGAATTCCGGATTCTGGATTACGACACAAGGGGTGGACAGGGTCCGCGCGTACTTGGGCCTCAAATTCGGGCCCTTTCTACTACCTCCCTGATTAGGGTCGTCCGACCTCTCAACGTCACTTCATCCCACACGTGAGATGCCCCTTAGGACGCTGGGAGGAGAGGCGGCTCTAATCGTAACCATGTCCGGCCAGGATTCACCCAACATGGATAGTCTCAGTTGAACTAGAGCGGGACATTCACAAAGTATGCGGCGAGGTATGCGGTGTGCCGTCTCGTCGGATGGTGATTCTACCAAATCCCTGCAGAGCATGTGCTTGTAAAGTTTACAGTGCCCAGAGAGTATGCTCACGAGTAACCACAGGTTCTTCCTTGATAGCCCTGTACAAAAACGCCCCAAACGGGAGCATTTAATTCGGTAATTGGGCACTTAATTAGCACCTAATTATAGTTAGTTCACTTTTCATTTTCTTGGTATTTTAAGGTAGGTACTAAGTGCTCTAATGAGTTCATATGAACCAGGCAGAACATATCATAATTTTTTTTAAAAAAAGGATCATTTAATTCGGTAATAGGGCACTTAAGTAACACCTAATTATAGTTAGTTCACTTTTCATTTTCTTGGTTTTTTAAGGTAGTGCTCTGCTGAGTTCAAATGAACCTGTCAAAACATGTCATAATTGTTAAAAAAAAGGAGCATTTATTTCGGTAATAGTACACTTAATTAACACCCAATTATTAATTAATTCATTTTCAATTTCTTGGGTATTTAAGGTACGTAGTGCTCTAAAGGGTTTATATGAACCTGGCAGAACATGTCATAATTTTCTTAAAAAAAGGTAGCAATTAATTCCGTAATAGGGCACTTAATTAGCACCAAATGATTAGTTAGTTTACTTTTCATTTTCTTGGACTTTTAAAGTAGTGCTCTGCCGAGTTCAAATGAACCTGTCAAAACATATGTCATAATTGTTAAAAAAAAGGAGCATTTATTTCGGTAATAGTGCACTTAATTAACACCCAATTATTAATTAATTCATTTTCATTTTCTTGGGTATTTAAGGTACCTAGTGCTCTAAAGGGTTTATATGAACCTGGCAGAACATGTCATAATTTTTTTAAAAAAGGAAGCATTTAATTTGGTAATAGGGCACTTAATTAGCACCTAATTATTAGTTAGTTCACTTTTCATTTTCTTGGTTTTTTAAGGTGGTGCTCTGCCGAGTTCATATGAACCTGGCTGAACACGAGGCTGAACATCTCATAATTTGTTTAAAAAAGTGAGCATTTAATTCGGTAATTAGCACCTAATTATGCAATGTGTTTGATTGTGTCTTTCTCTGCTAGAATCATGCACACCACCTTTCCTTAGCTACGTTACTGAATATAAGCATTCAGATTAATCTAAAGACGGTAGAGAGATCACAAAAATTAACTAGAATTTACTCACGTACGCCACTGGTCAATATTCTATCCTACAGTTCATTACTTATATTTATTATTATTATTATTATTATATTCTCTGATTGTGCATGTTTACTTTTTAAGTCACCTGTTGATGAAGTGAAAAGGAAATAAACAGAGATGTGGGTGGAAGAAGTGCCGCAATGGATGAACGAATTGGGATGTGAATCCTGGTAGCCGGTGTGGGCCCCCGTGTCTCATTTTGTAAAACGTTCACGAGGAGAGTATCTCGTTACTTGGTTTGTGATTGTGACTCGATCTTCATTTGTCAATATCGCAGGTATCGGAGGAGAATCAAGATGTGAACGACAACGATGTGTACGGTTCCCGTTACTTGGCAGCAACCCGAATTAAATTAGTAAAATTGGCAAGATCCCTTTGAACTTGGAATGTACGTTCTGAAATTACTTAAAGCTGCCGGGGGGAAAACTGAAATGGACTCCAAAAAGATAAACTGACAGAGTTGCGACCGTAAGTACCAGCATTTCGATGAAATTAGTCACAATCGTAGTGCAGTGTTTTGCAAGCCTGTGGTCATTCCACTGTAAATTAGCACGTTGGCCGCCACATATACAGCGATTGTCGTAGGAGATAGTATTTCACGACGCCGGTTGTACACATGGGGTGACTGTTTAACGTTAGTATGGCCAGCCGGCTGACATGCGATAACTGTTTCTAGCACCAGTACAGAAGACCCCTCTGACGGTTATCGTGTTAAAAAACAACTTGAATGCATGTGACAATGGATGCATTAAACAGACGAAGCGCTTCATGAGCGCCATCACCTAAATGCGAGAATACTCTAACAAGATTTCTCGTGCAAGTTGCTGTCGAGGTGTAAATACCACCGTACGTCTGACTTGGGGGACATGTACACTTCGACAGTACTATCAAATAGCCACTTGCGTGAGAAACTTTGCTAAAGTATTCCCGCCTTTAGGTAGTTCTTCGTCTGGTGAACGTAAGCATTACAACCTACTTCATCATCGGATTAATATGAAGGGTAGCAAAATATTAGAGTGCGGTTATCGTACAGTGCGTCAACAAAATTTTCCTTCGTTACTGTTCAGCCCTACGTTTTGCGGCTGATAAATGAACTCTGGCCCTAGCATTTATACCGAAATGAAATATACCGAATACTTTGAACGGATTGTTACCGTCGATACCAGCTACGTCATATCTTAAGGGTGGCGCAAGGCATTATCGTAACCGTTACCATGCAACTTGTAAAGGTCTACAAACTTACCCCAAATCAACATATCGTTGAAATCTTGGGTGTCTTGATTCCAAACACGAAAAAAGGGGCACAAAACGTTAAGTTTTAAACGCCATTTTATTTAAATTTTCGATAATCTTCAAATGACACCGAAAAGACCGATTTACTAACACTTCCCCGTCAGTTTTTATTAATTTAAGGGTTGATTTTAACAACAAAACAATAATTTACGCGATCGCGTCCCGAGAGCCACCACGCAAACGCCGATTTAAATTCGAACTAAAAGTAGTTGGGACGCCAGGACTTTTCCTAGCTTAAATTACGTTTATACACCGATTTACGTATTACGGACCGAAACGAACGACGTCCAACTATTTTCCGCGTCTCTTAATTGCATTTTTTTAAGTTTATTTTAATTTCGCACTTCCCAAATTATGAGAAAACGAAGAGTACAACACGCTCGGCACGGCAGTAACGACATACTGGATCACGTGATGAAGCTTACGATAACGACGTCACGACTGCGAGAGTCTCTCTGATTGGCCCATCTAAAAAAATGGTCCAATCAAATGCATCCGAATTTTTGTTTACTGATCATTCTTCGAATTCTAAAAACGGTTTCAAATGTACTATGGCTATTGCAAATTATCTATTCTGTTTCCCATTTATCGTTATATACACATCTTACGTAACCTGCTGGACGTGTCTTTGAATCCAAACGTAAATAAAACACGTTCTAGGAACAAAAATACGGTCCGAACAACCGATAGTTAACGATCTTTAGTCCTAAAGCTGTACAATTCGCCCCTGTTTGCGCCAACGGTTTTCCAGCTCCCATTGCCCTTCAGGGTCTTCTTCGGACCTTTCACCCTTTAGATCCATCACACTACCCCACTCGATTTCTTCCTCCGACTGCTCAATTTTGTCAGTCTTTCAGTTCTTATAGACTTCGCTGACCTCCACTTCGATTCCTCACACTTTTGAGTCGTTTATAAATGCTTCTTGATGGTCTTAAAGGGCCTTTTAAACACTCTTAAGAAAAGGTCCCGAAAGCCTCTTGAAAACTCGTAGGGGTTTTTAACGTGTTTCGTGTTAATAAGCTCGACCTTTAGAAGTGTCCAAATGATTTTGAAAGCACTTAAGATCTTTAAAGCCTCCTCTCTTGAAAAGAGGGGGGAATCACTGACTTTCCTCTGGAAACTCCTTGAGCCTGTTAAGCATTTTTAAATATTTTTAAGGGCGGTAAAATACTCTTAAAGACTTTAAAAGCTAATTAAAGGTTCTCAAAACGTTAACAAAACTCGAGAGTCGATTTAAGATTCAGTAGAAGCTATTCTATTCATAAGGAGAGTCTGACCAGGCAGCATTTAGGCACGCAGAAAGCCCATTTTGTGCGGTGTGCCTACCCCCTTTCTTTCACAACTAGATTCAGAGCCCGCTCCTCTCAATAAAGGATAGGACTCTGTTTCTCCAAGTTGCTTCAGGCTCAGTTGCGTATTTTGATTCTTATCAAAATCCTGTTTTGATATTTACATTCCCACATGAATTCCTGCCGGAAAAGCTACTTACCATTTTAGGTATCAATTGTATGATTGGTTGCCTAAGTGGCAGTAAGCTTCCTATTATCATTACTTTAGTTGGTGATCGTACAGCCAAAAGTCCTTTCGCACTGGCCTATGTGTCCTTTCCAGGGGCTCTAAAAAATTTCTTATTCTTATACTCTTGGACGCTGGAAAATCTAGAGACCCCCTTAAAGGCTTGGCTTTTAAAGAAAGTGCTGTTTTTTGAGGTTGCACACTATTAGTTAACTTCACATCTTTAATTTAGTGAACTTTAATTAATCATAACCCACAAGTACAGAGAATAATTACTTATATCGAAAATGAATATCCTAAGTGAAAAGCAATGCGTAACTAACTAAAAAAATAATAATTGACAAAGGGCTTTTAAAGTCTCATAAAAAAGACTTTTTAAAACACACCTGATACAAATTAAGAAGAATGCTGAGGGCGAATAGTAATAACGCAAACCTTAACGACTTTTACGTTCGTTAGGCGCACGCAACCATTTTACAAATTTCAATACAAATTTAAGTGTGACATAGTTAAATAGGGCGATTAGAAGTAAAGTCAGTATCAAAACACCCATCACGTCTATCAAGTAGTATTGATACCAAGGTGCGTTCATCAGGGGACCTCTAAGATGCTGTGCACCCTTGTGACGTATGACGTACTCCGACCACCAGACGGCCTTCTCAAGACCGGTCATCGGCTGATCGTCCGCCAATTTGGCCAGTTTCTTCATCTCAGTCTTATACCTGCGAAATCTCTGGGGATTAGGACACGAAAACCGAGACAATCGACTCACCTCGGATTTGCTATGACCTCCAAAATTGCAGCCTTAACGGTCGGCTTGTTCAGATCGCTTTGCGCCAGCTCGAATCCGAAGCCCATGTTCGCCATCTTTCGGACGTTGTAGAATTGGTCGGCGAGAAACGGAATCCCGAGCATCGGAACGTGCGCGTAGATCGCCTCGTCCATCGACTGTAGACCACCCTGTGTTATGAACAGCTTGATGTTGGGATGCCCTATTAAAATGGTTTTTTTTTCAATAACACACCACACCAGGACCAGCCAGAGCATCTTTCATGCGCATTATGTTTTGTTAGCGCATTTTTATAAAAAATAAAGAAAATTATGCGTTTTGTCTGTCTGTCTGTCTGTCTGTCCGTCCGAATCCACTTCTACCGTTTTGAACTACTTATAGGGGAATGGTTCTAGAGTTTTACAGTCTAATACCTTTTAAAAAATGTGTAAGGGGGAGAAATTCGCCCTTTAGAATATCTCTAAAGGGGTGAAATCCACCCTTAGGTTCTAAAAAATTGTATAAGACACTTGCACAACAAAGTTTCACACTCTAATGCCCTTTAAAAAATGTCTAAAAGGGTGAAACCCGCCCTTGAGATCCAATAAAATTCGCAAGACACTTGGACAATAAAGTTTCACGTTCTATTACCCTTTAAAAAATGTCTAAAGGGGTTGAAATCTACCCTTGATGTCTAAACACTTCATGAGACACATGCACAACAAAGTTTCACAGTCTAAAGGTCTTTAAAAAATGTCTAAAAGGGTGAAACCCGCCCTTGAGATCCAATAAAATTCACGAGACACTTGCACAATAAAGTTTCACGTTCTATTGCCCTTTAAAAAATGTCTAAAGGGGTGAAATCTACCCTTGAGGTCTAAAAAACTTCATGAGACACATGCACAACAAAGTTTCACAGTCTAAAGGCCTTTAAAAAATGTCTAAAAGGGTGAAACCCGCCCTTGAGATACAATAAAATTCATGAGACACTTGCACAATAAAGTTTCACGTTCTATTGCCCTTTAAAAAATGTCTAAAGGGGTGAAATCTACCCTTGATGCCTCAAAAACTTCATGAGACACATGCACAACAAAGTTTCACAGTCTAATGGCCTTTAAAAAATGTCTAAAAGGATGAAACCCGCTCTCGAGATCCAATAAAATTCATGAGACACTTGCACAATAAAGTTTCACGTTCTATTGCCCTTTAAAAAATGTCTAAAGGGGTGAAATCTACCCTTGATGTCTAAAAAAACTTCATGAGACACATGCACAGCAAAGTTTCACAGTCTAATGGCCTTTAAAAAATGTCTAAAAGGGTGCAACCCGCCCTTGAGATCCAATAAAATTCATGAGACACTTGCACAATAAAGTTTCACGTTCTATTGCCCTTTAAAAAATGTCTAAAGGGGTGAAATCTACCCTTGATGTCTAAAAAACTTCATGAGACACATGCACAATAAAGTTTCACAGTCTAAAGGTCTTTAAAAAATGTCTAAAAGGGTGAAACCCGCCCTTGAGATCCAATAAAATTCACAAGACACTTGGACAATAAAGTTTCACGTTCTATTACCCTTTAAAAAATGTCTAAAGGGGTTGAAATCTACCCTTGATGTCTAAAAACTTCATGAGACACATGCACAACAAAGTTTCACAGTCTAAAGGCCTTTAAAAAATGTCTAAAAGGGTGAAACCCGCCCTTGAGATCCAATAAAATTCATGAGACACTTGCACAATAAAGTTTCACGTTCTATTGCCCTTTAAAAAATGTCTAAAGGGGTGAAATCTACCCTTGATGTCTAAAAAACTTCATGAGACACATGCACAACAAAGTTTCACAGTCTAATGGCCTTTAAAAAATGTCTAAAAGGGTGAAACCCGCCCTTGAGATCCAATAAAATTCATGAGACACTTGCACAATAAAGTTTCACGTTCTATTGCCCTTTAAAAAATGTCTAAAGGGGTGAAATCTACCCTTGATGTCTAAAAAACTTCATGAGACACATGCACAACAAAGTTTCACAGTCTAAAGGTCTTTAAAAAATGTCTAAAAGGGTGAAACCCGCCCTTGAGATCCAATAAAATTCACGAGACACTTGCACAATAGTTTCACGTTCTATTGCCCTTTAAAAAATGTCTAAAGGGGTGAAATCTACCCTTGAGGTCTAAAAAACTTCATGAGACACTTGCACAACAAACTTTCACAGTCTAAATACCCCTTAAAAAATGTCTAAAAGGGTGAAACCCGCCCTTGAGATCCAATAAAATGCATGAGATATTTGCACAACAAAGTTTCACAGTCTAATGCCCTTTAAAAAATGTCTAAAAGGGTGAAACCCGCCCTTGAGATCCAATAAAATTCATGAGGCACTTGCACAATAAAGTTTCACGTGCTATTGCCCTTTATAAAATGTCTAAAGGGGTGAAATCTACCCTTGATGCCTAAAAAACTTCATGAGACACATGCACAACAAAGTTTCACAGTCTAATGGCCTTTAAAAATGTCTCAAAGGATGAAACCCGCCCTCGAGACCCAATAAAATTCATGAGACACTTGCACAATAAAGTTTCACGTTCTATTGCCCTTTAAAAAATGTCTAAAGGGGTGAAATCTACCCTTGATGTCTAAAAAACTTCATGTCATATTCTAATGAAAGGTCTCATCAAAATAAATTGGTTTGAAACTAAAGATTTGAAAGGAACCGCTTTCTACCAACTACTTTTTTCTGACCTCTTATCAAAAGAGGGGGTTGGGGAGGGGGCGGAAGAGAAAGACAAAATGAATCATCAGGACACTTCTAGGTGCAGGTAACCTACCCAAAATGTCTTTTTGAGGAAACCACTTGGAGATGATCACATTGGGCGGAGTGGCCGGTGGACTGTCGCCGTCAAACTTCCACAGGACAACGTGGGGGAGCTCTGCGAATACGTCCGAAAATGTACGTATCGCCTCCTCTGGCAGATATTCCGTTTTCATGACGGACCCGAAACTAAAATAAATAAAACCCTGGGTCGCACCGTCCAGAATCGCTCGAAGATCCTGGAAGAATCGTTAGATGGCGCCAAAACAAAATTCTTGAGCTTAATATTACCTTCGGCAAAGATGTGGACTGCGCAGGCGACCTGTTGATTCCGGCACCGATGGGTATCACGGCCGGCAAGAGCGGCCTGATTTGGTGGAAGATGGGATCGGTGTTGACGAATAGGAGGCTGATGTTCTTGGCCATCTCCCGAACCGAGGGGTAGTGATCGCCAAAGTGCTTCCGCACGAGTTCCTGTTCCCAACTCTGCGCGTCGTCGAGGTGGAGATCGACCATGACAGACGACACAAAATTCTTAAAACGATCCCCCAACGACATTTCATCCCCGACTGGCATAAATGCGTTGGAATACAGCGCGGGATGCGACGGATTCCCAAGAGATTTGTACAAGGTATTCCACGCGTCCAGCGAAACCACCCCGATTGATGGACACCCGAACCTGGTGGCGAATGCCAGTGGACTGCTGTAGAGATACTCGGAGATCACAAGGTCAAATTTCGTCTCCTGGTCGTCTATCAACCTCTTTATCGGCGGGTGGCGAAGTTGCCTGTCGATCGCCTTGTGCATCGCCTCGAAGAAGACGCTCAGCCCGTTTACCGCATCCAGGCGGGGAAACTGCATGATCCTCGTCACTTCAATCACCGACATATCATCGTGTAAGGCCTTACTAAGGTCGATCTCGGTCAGGTTCACGAGTCGGGGATCGTTAATTGGATGAGCCGTAAGCGTCGTGACGTGATGGCCGCGTAGCGACAGTTCCCTCCAGATCGGTCGAAACACACTTTGATGGCTGTAGGAAGGGCTCGGTACGTAACCCAAAATTCTGGCTGCTTTTGCCGAGGAAATAATTAGACACACGGTTAGAAGTCTCGGTAACATTCTCTCGAAAGGTTAAATTCGCGACTGACTGTGCGATGATGACCTCAAAAAGATAAGATGGTTGTTGACATGTTCGCTATCTTTATCATTTTAGAGGAGGTTTAGTTCCACAGTGTACAACATTTAAGGAGCATTATAGCAGTTTGGCGAGGAGTGAAGACGCTGATTGAGGCTCCCAGGAGAAATCTGAGCAAGGTAAAGTGCGAGGAATCGAAGACGAGATGAAAAAAGTCTAAGAACTGAAAGAATGGTCTGAGGATGATCGAAAAGGTTGTGAAGTTGGGGGAAGAAGTCGAGTGGGGTGTGACGGATCTTAAGGGTGAGAGGACTGAAGAAGACCCCGAATCTACCTAGGTTAGGCAGCATTTCCGCACTACGCGTGGGGCTTCTCGTAAGAGGGGACCCTCAAAAGGGGGCTGGTTCCTCAAAAGAGAGTATTAGCTCCTATTCGCAAGAAGAATTGGACAGGCGCACAGAAGGCGATAGTCAGGAGTGCCGGTCCGAGGGTAAAACCTCGAATTAAGCGGGTCCCGCGCCAAAGCCTAAAGGTTGTACGTGTCTGGATCGTTGGCTCAGGAGGGTAACCCGACGTCAGGAATCAAGTATGTCAGATCGGATGGAAGAGGAAGCAGTCCAGTATGTGTCTCAAGGCGCCTGAGAAGCCTAGAGGTTCTGGAGCACCTATGAAGTTGTGGGTGCACCACGAACGTATGGCCGCCATTGTTCCGGAGGTGGACGTCACTGTGCCTCAGTTGTGGTGCATTATGGAGTCATTGAATACAGTTGATGAGATTGAAGGGGGGCTCCCCTTAGCTAGCACGGGTGCCATTGGCACTTTAATAGGGCCATGCGAACTAAGCTTCCTAGGGACTGGCGAGATCTAAAGATCGCTCAGCGCAGCTATAAGGACCATATTCGAAGGTCTAAGCGAGGATCATGGAGGAATTTCTGTGGTAACATCTTGAAGTTTAAAAACTTCGTACAGCTGATTTTTTTTTAATGGAACACCCTGTATATTTTTCGCTGGATCGATGTCATTCATTAACCTCTGCATGGAAACCTATTCACTATTGGTTTTTCGTCAATGTTGCCAAATTATTAATTTTTTTCTGAATAATTCCCTATAAGCCACCCCCCCCATTTGGATAAATCGTAGCGACCTTGATTTTAAAATTAAGAAATACATTTGATCACTAATGTGAATCTGAACAAAAGGCAACACTTTGGTAATGAGAAAGTTGAAGTTAGTGATACAGGGTGTTCACAAAAAATTTCCAAATTTGCCATAACGATTTTTTTTTCAAATGAAACTACTACTATTTTATTTCTCTATTCGATAGTCTTTTGCGTGCTCTTCAATTTTTATAAGGGGTGTCCTGTGCCAAAACCCCGTAGTTTCCAGGTTATTCCAATATTTTTCACAAAAATAGTTACATATTTGATATTAATTAATTACTTGTTTATAAAAAGTAGGCTGTGGTTATAAAAATTTATGATTTACTGCAAGTGTACTCCTTATTTCGTAGTAAAATAAGATTATTTAAAAAAACTAGTTCATCTTTTTCGAAATTCATCTTCTTAATTAAACTTATTTTACTACGAAATAGGCATAATTTATTTGTGACACTTGCTTACTTTCTGGCATTCTATTGTTTTTTATCATCACTGTCTACACCGATTTGGAAATTTTACTATTCTTTTGTGAACACCCTGTGTATCACTAAATCCCACTTTCTCATTACCAAAGTGTTTCCTTTTATTGAGATTAACATTGTTGATCAAATGTATCTCTTAACTGTAAAATCAAGATTGCTACGATTTATCAAAATGGGGCTTGCTTATTCGGAAAAAAATTAATAATTTGATAACATTAACAAAAAAACAAAAAAGCAAATAGGTTTCCATGGAGAGATTAAAAAATGACATGGAAACAACTAAAAATATACACTGTGTTGCATTAAAAAAAATCAGTTTGACACCGTAAAAATGGGACACCCTGTACATTTGCACAAAAGGTTTTTTTTATATGTTTTACTAGGTATGAGCTAGGAGAGCACTCTTGCAGGATCCTTACGGATGCAGTGACGGTCAAGCTTGATCTAGTGTGCCAGCGCACTGCCGAATAGGGGGCAACGAAAGGGCCCCTTTGCAAATCTGGGTCTTCCAAGCTTCCAAAACTGAATAGAAGCCAGATTAGGAGGAGCATCGGTGTCCTCATGGAGCACTTGATGGTCAAGCATCACCCGCCTAACATATTGGGTTTGTGGCAGAGCCCAAGTGCGGGTTCTGTGGCGACGCAGATGAAACTACCGAGCATAGTGGTCTGCCACGTACTGTGACACTCTCATCCTTGGCGACAGTTATCTGGAACGGGGGAAAGTCTTAGTCGGATCCTATAATTGGCCTTCGGTGTGCCTAAGTGTTACCCCTCTTATGAATAGACTAGCCTTCGAGTCTCAAATCGGATCTACAGTTTTTTTAAACCTTTTGAGAAACTTTAATTAGTCTTTAGGAGCAGTGGCGTATTTACCGGGGGGGATGAAGGGGATATATCCCCTCCCCAAAAGAATTGAGTTATCATCATAGCTATTAGGTATTTAGGTAATACTCCGCTTCTCCCAAACTCATGCCCCCCCCCCCCCCCCCGGAAAAAAGACAAGGGATTTGCAGATTTTTTTAATTGCATTTCAAACAACTTGCTGGGCAGTATTGAACATTAAGTTAAAGGAGAAGGCGCTGTAATTCCAATGACGTATTGGCAAATTTATCAATTAATTTATCCTTCTCCAAATTTAAACTAACAATACGCTCAACATTTACAAGCATTAATGCTTCAAAAATTGCCTGACCCAAAGAGGGCCCCGTCCAGGATCCCCGCTAACGCGGGGCCACGGCCGCTCGGGCGGCCTAGCGGCCTGGGCCAGTCCGGCCCTGTGTATATATAGAGAGCAATTTTGGTTTCGGTTAAAGTCTAAAGTCACTAAAATCTAAATATTCTGTAATATTCAATGAGTGATCAGTGTTAGCGGTCAATGATTTGGCTAGTCGGCATCGATCGGCAATTCGCTACATTGGTGAGGTACCTGCGTCCTGCCTTTCACGAAATGACGAAAATAAGAATTTTAAATTTTAAAAACAGGAATTTTTTTTGCCCATAACTTTTGATGGAGGCGTCTAATCGAATAAGTACGAATCGTTTTGGATTCTATGCACCCAAATTAATAAGAAAAAGTTTTTTCCCGAGAAATTTTGGTGCAGTCGATTTTTGGAAAAAAGGGAAGGTACACTGCCTTTTTTTTGCCCCGAAAAAAAAATTGTCTCAGATCGACCGGAAAAAATATGTTCTTATAGAATGTGGCCTGTAGAATCCATAATTCCAAACAGTTCCAAGATCGGATTACTAGATCAAAAGTTACAGCCCTTTGAATTTTTTGTCGAAATTGGTTTTTTGCCCATAAATATACCTATTATTCAAAGTTTTCGTTGACTAATTAAAGTAAAAGCTCTGATCTAATCTTTTTCGCCTGTGCAACCCAATTTCTATTTCTTACCCCCCCCCCCAACCCTTTCTGTACGCCTGGGTGCTGTATGTGCCACGGAACTTGTTTAATCCCCCCCCCCCCCCCCGAATTAATTTCTACGTACGCCACTGTTTAGGAGCATTAGACTGCCCTTCGAAATCTTTAAAAATGCTTAATAGGTCTTAACGACGGCGAAGCCGAAGCGATAGCCTCTGACGAGCCGTTTTGAAAGACTTCTGCGAATAAACAATTACAGTTCAAGGGCATCAAAATGGGACGAAGGAGTCTCCAGGAAACCCTGAGAGTCCCTCCTCCGCTTTCTACAGGAGAGGAGTGCTTTTAAAAACATTTGAACACTTAAAGGTCAAGCTGAAGGCCCCCAAAGAGGCTTTCGGAACCTTTAGGTTTCGTCCTCAGGAGTGTTTCAAAGGCGAACCTTGGGAGAATAATCTTGGAATTTGTTTGCGTTGTATTTTGATTTCATATGAGTGTTTTGGATTAAAAGACATAACGGGTTAATTTGAAACAGTGGTGGAATATCGTATCAACTCACGTAGTCGTGACGTCATAACACCAGTTTCGGCACGTGACCGGCGCTGTCGCTGCGGCGTTCCGCGGAACGTGTCGAATTTTTTACGGTTTTCGGTTAATTTTCGAAGTGCAATATTAAAATAAACTTTAAAAACGGCAAATAAAACACGCGGAAAATAGTTGGACGTCGTTCGTTTCGGCCCGCAATACGTAAATCGGTTTATAAACGTAATTTAAGCTAGGAAAAGTCATGGCGTCCCAACTACTTTTAGTTCGAATTTGAATCGGCGTTTGCGTGGTGGCTCTCGGGACGCGACGCGATCGCGTAAATTATTATTTTGTTGTTAAAATCAACCCTTAAATTAATAAAAACTGACGGGGAAGTGTTAGTAAATCGGTCTTTTCGGTGTCATTTGAAGATTATCGAAAATTTAAATAAAATGGCGTCCTATTTCAAATTCACTTGTTTGCGTTTAAAACTTAACGTTTTGTGCCCCTTTTTTCGTGTTTGGAATCAAGACACCCAAGATTTCAATGATATGTTGATTTGGGGTAAGTTTGTAGACCTTTACAAGTTGCATGGTAACGGTTACGATAATGCCTTGCGCCACCCTTAAGATATGACGTAGCTGGTATCGACGGTAACAATCCGTTCAAAGTATTCGGTATATTTCATTTCGGTATAAATGCTAGGGCCAGAGTTCATTTATCAACCGCAAAACGTGAGGCTGAACAGTAATGAAGGAAAATTAATTGTTGACACACTGTACGACAACTGCGCTCTAATATTTTGCTACCCCGCCTTCACATTAATCCGACGAAATAGGTTATGTTACATGCGTTCCAGTTGTCTTTTAACACGTTAACCGTCAGAGTGGTCTTGTGCGCTGGTGATATCGCACGTTACACTTGCATTAAAACGGTCACGCCGTGTACGGTAAAATACCATCTCCTATGACAGCCGGGTGACTCGCCAGCTTATAACGCCCACACGGTGTGTGTACTTCTGGCGTGGAAAAATAGCATCTCCTACAATAACCGGCTGTACCTACATGTGACGGCCACTGGCCGTGTAATGATAGAACACCTACGATTGCGACAATTTCATTTAAATACCGGTACTTACGGTCAAGACTCCGATACATTACTTCGTTATGTTTCATTCGCTGTGCCCCAGTCTTACGTTGCTCATTTTACAAACAATTCCACTGCGTCAGTTTTATCTTTTGGGAACGGAATCTTTCCCCCAAGTAACAGGAGCCGTAAACATATGGTTGTCGTTCACATCTCGATTCTCCTCCGATACCTGCGGTATTGACAAATGAAGATCGAGTCACAAGCACAAACCTGCAAGTAACCCCACACCGGCTACCAACCAGGATTCGTATCCCATCCATTGCGACACTTCTTCCACTCACAATCTCTCTTTATTTCGTTTTCACTTTATCAACAGGTGACTTATAAGTAAACTGTCATGAAAAATCAGAGAGTATTAGCAATGAACTGTAGGACAGATGAAACTGAATTGTACCAGTGGCGTCCGTGTTCCTTTCAAAGAGAGCATGATCATTTCTCATATTCAGCAACGTAGCGTAAGGAGAGGTGCAGGGGGGGGGAGTTGACATATACACAGTGCCTCATCAGATATAGTAAAATAGTAATATTTTGATTATCTCAGCTATTGAATTTATTTGAATATATTTTTATTTTCAGTTCTTGACGAACGAGGAAGATCCATCTCGACTTTGGTAATTGATGGTTCTCCCAGCAAAGAGAATGAATGAGGCTAAAGGGTAAGTGTTAATTCCTTTCATTTTATAGCTCAATTTCTTTAAGAAAACTGTCAAACACAAACAAATGCTTCACTGTCCCAGTCAAAATTTACAATTGTTCCCAAACACAAAATATTTTAATATCATTTTTAACACAAATCTCCTCTTTGTTGCAGATTCCAGAAAGTCAGCCTCATAAAAGGTAGGATTTTTCGTTTTATGCATGGTGTATTATCGACAAAAGTTAAAGTGTTGTGTATGTCGTTTTGTAATTCTTCTTTTTCTTTGATTATGGGCCCAAACTGCAGGTCTTTTGCCTTCAGGACTGGTTCTTCTTCAATGAGGTTTTGGTCGGACCTCCCGGTATCTTCGTTACTGATGAGTGTGTTTTGTTTGAACTAAACAGTCTTGAAATACCTTGAAAATGCCAACTGCATTTACTACTATGTCCTGTCGTTCGGTGTGACATGTTATGGCTACACTCCACTCGTAGATTGTGCAGTCACGAACATCCATGTACTATGCGATCAAAAATGAGTTGCGGTAGTTGCTTATGGGCTGCAATGGTTAATCGTCCTCATGTACCTTTATCTGATTACTTTTTATGAATATCTGCGTTGAACGCTACCCATCTCACCACGATGTCATCTTCTCGACTTAGACTTTTCGTCTTTTTTAATTTTTATAAAAGGGCATGTCCTTCTTATAGTAGTGTATCATTTTCAGCGCGTAACTCTGACGTTTAGGGCCTTTTTGGGAGGTATTTTGGATTTGACTTTATGGTCATTTTTAAGGACTTTCTCGACTTAGACTTTCCGTTTTTTTTTATTTTTATAAAAGGGCATGTCCTTCTTATAGTAGTGTATCATTTTCAGCGCGTAACTCTGACGTTTAGGGCCTTTTTGATATCAATTTTGAGTTCGCACAGTTGAACATCGCGCTATTTTTACAG